AATGCTTCTAATTTTACACTCAAATCAAGGGCGTAGAACGGAAGAGAAGAACTGGCAATAAACTCCCCGCTACTCATTTTAAAAGTAAGGAGCTGCAACCATTACACCATGTTCCACATGACATCTTAAGTAATAAATAATAATAAAATAAATTAAAAACAAAGATTTGTTTTCTATCAGCAGGAGGCATGGTGAAATAGGAGCACGAACTAACGTTCTCGTGGGCAATACAACAATGCGCAAATACATAGGACCAGTCACCACAAGTAGCACCCGTTCACGAGTATGACGCATGGCCAGCCATCGGCCCCCTCGCCATATTTTATGAAAAGAGACAACCCGACGCATGGACGCCGCCACAAGCACTGACTACTGAACATTCCTCGTGTCTAAATTCAAGTAAATAATGCCTTATAGTACGATTATGAATAAGATCTTTTGACTACAGGGATCAATTCCATTCAAGAATAACTTAATCAAAATAACTTTAATAAGGCGAGATCGCGTGTTGAGAGACAGTTTGTGGTTAGTTTTTAAATTACACCTATCACGGTTCCACGGAACGCGAAAGTCGTAAAATTTAATGTTGAACTTTGATCCCCTTTTCACCATAATACACCTGCTAACTGCTTTTCTCGTACCTACTTATAATCGAAACGATAAGGCTTTTAATGTAACAACATTACCTTTATTAATTAAGGAATTTAATATCCTTAAAGGTTAATTACGAGTCATCAGTTTGAGCGTATAACTTTCATTGTTCTAATGATATTTATAAAATAAACAATAATGAATAATGAAAATAAACAATAATGAAGCAGACGTAGTAACGTCTGGTACCGGATGGCCAAACAAAATCTGTAAGTAACAAGAATTATATATTATATGTTATGAAATCCAAAATCAGGTTAAATATATCATATCTTCCTCTATAAATTATTTCCTCTTTCGCAAAGTATTAAATGTAATGCCGGAATCCTTCATAACAGAACAATAAAACCAACTCGTAAAAAAGCATTACATCATCCAAATAATTTCTTGTAACTCCGACATATTTGTGTAGCCTGTAATATCAGGATTTTACGATATTCCCTAAGTTGGATAACTATGCATCAGAAATGTACGTTCTGGTAGAATATCTTGAAAATATGCTGCTTTTTTATGACCACTACGTTTTATTGCGGTCCAGTTTGAGTATTTGCTCATATGATTTATATACTGACCATTTAGGTAGGGACTTACACATATTGACTTGTGTTTATACTCGCTCTGGCTTACAACACTTTTAAATTCTATTATCTAAAACATAAAATATTTGTGTAATATATTTATACTTCCGTTCCACGTTAAAACATTATAATTCGCAAAAGTTATCTTCAAAATATATATAAATCATTCAGATCTAGAAAAGGGCTAACCGAATAGATTTATTTGAGCAAAACCCTGCAGTTACTGAAACAGATACTGGCAACAAAAAACCATCGTAATTTAACTGTCAGAGCATTGAAATTGGAATAATTTGGTTTATTTACAGCGGGCAACCTCAACCGAAATTAACAACGTTTGGAAGCAATAAAATTGTAAATCGGATATATCCAATAACTCTCGGAAATCGGAACGAGGTGGAATTTAATTAAATGTTTTATTAATTAATGAATCCCGCCTCACGCTGGCGCTGGTGATTCGTCACCGTCCACAAATCTCTCGGCTAATAATTCTCTCGTTTCCGATAACCTTAACTTCAATCACTGTACAAAAAATATTACACTATCACATAAGACTCCATATAAAATTAAAAACATCTTAAGCCGAAAATCCCCATAATAACAATGCTGAAAAGCCATACAAACTGTTAGCTAATTAATGAATTATCCCATTAATACGAGCAAGAATCCTAAGCCGGCAGAACATTGACAAAAGTAATACAACAGTAATTTGGTACAAAGTAATTAAGGTTCAAATGGTGCCCGGGGAGCCATTTCCCTGTATTTTCCGGAAGAGAGCCTTCATATGACCTTTAAACGTACACTAAAGTATAATTATTACGTCGAGACCTTTTAATTGTAGTGCCAGGTTGTATTCTTCATGAATATTCGTGCACGCACGTCAACAAATAACAAGCCTTTTCGCCTTTTTGAAGGGAGTTAAATATATAGAAGTGTTATTTATATTCATCATTAAGCTCATTAACTTTATTGAATTTGAATCATGAAATTGCTTGCTTGTTTGTAATTTCTATGTCTAATATAATCGATGTTTATGTGTGTATAATTTGTTACTACATCATATTTTAGCATGTTTTTTTAGAACTTAACGTAAATTTAGGCAAAACAGGGTAGCAAATTTAAACTTAACTAAAGAAGAAACTGAAACTAAATTTTATTATTTGTATATCATAAATATATTCATGTTAAGTAGTGAATCTCTTGGCTTCTCGGAATTGAAGTTTCTTTAATACCAAAACCCGCCCACAATAGATGTGTACCCCGAGGTCCACGATTGGACCCGCTAGGACCCTTTATCAATCTAAAACGGTCCTTTTTCTCTTAGTAATACTCGTTTTGTTCCCAATTTTCCAAACTTATATTATGAACTTATAAAAGGTTTTTCCTGTACGCCTTTTTCGGATATGTATGTAAAATACAACTCTCGCACAAACGTGTAAAAGATCTATTTCTGTCAAGTTATTTCTTATATGTAATATGTTACAAAGAAAACCCGTGTTTTTACTGTTTACTAAGTTCAATATCGTATATGTACACTTTTAACAGCCTTCAAAGAAATATCCTTTGCCAAGGTATGTTTTTGATGGCATCGTTCGCACACCCTTCGGGAACTAGGCTAATAAATGGATATTTTTGGCAAAAACAATATTTGCTCACGTCTGGATACGCAGCGAATATGTATTTAGATCGTTAATATCTTGCGATGAGGGGTTTGGAAGGGGAGTCCCGTGATACCTGTTATTCTGTTGATATCAAGTAGCGTAGTATTAGACTAAACTATATTTTCCAATCTTGAATTAATTTTTTTAACTATTCTTGGATTAGCTTTTACCGAACATTAAAGAAAAAACTTGGCAATTTCATTAAATATCACGATACTTAGCTGTACTCTATTTCAAATAGATATTAAATTAAGCTGTTGCATTTTGTATTAAATCTTTCATTTGAGGTAACATCGATTTTTGTTACAAGGTAAAAGTTCTTTCTAGTTATTTTTCGTTTCGATCGAAAATAAAATCATCGTACTAAATCTAAAGTTTTGTTTAATGTACAGTTGAGAAAAATTTATGAAAAAAATTAATAGTTAAAGAACTTATTTGACTCCTTGACACCTTAATAACTATTACCTATCACAATCAAGCGAAACGCACAATCGTTTCTATTTTCGTTTAACAATAATTACATGATGGGTGGCTGCATCATTTTCTGAATACCAGAGACACACAATATCTATCCAGTCACGTCTACTATGCTATAAACTTAGCACATGAAGCGTAGGCGACAAATTTACGTATCTGGCTTATCGATAATTCTTGTTTTTGTTTATTTATTTATTTACAAAAATACGTACATACTAAGCAAATACGATATTGTCAAAAAAAATGTGATTCCTTTAAGTCAATTTTAGAAAAAAGATGCTAAAATAGTAGTTAATTTACGCAAAGGGTCTTTTCTTAATTTTAATATGTAATTGTACATCGTAGTACTCCCGTAGCATGCCGTAGAAGAGAGAGCTGTATATTGAAATAGACATATTAGTTATTCCAAAGATAATAAAAAATGTATGCGTGTACTAGTGTACACACGTAAGAATTGAAACTTCTTTATGACCTTATTTTTCGAAAAATTATCTACAACTGCAACTTTACAGAAATTGGTTAAATAAAGTTAACTTTTATTATCATAGACATAGATGGAATAGAATAAATAAATAGAATATAAATAATACAATAATTTTATTCTACCTTATTACTACTAAGATTATTACAGAATTTCATTAATTGTAATATAATTATTACTATCACTGTTATCGTTATTATATATTTTTGTTTTTAATATAAATTTTATACATTTTATGAACGCACTACACAGTTTTTGACATAAATAATAATGATTTAAAAGCATAATTTCTATTTATAACTAAATATAATACTGCAATATTAATTAAATATAACGTGAAAAAAATTATCCAATATAAATAACAGTACGTTGCGGTAAGCCTGAAGTTAGTTTTCAGAGGTAGGCAAACTTCACAAACAACAAATCTTGCAACTAATCAATGAACTGGATCCGAAATCGCAGGACAAGAAAAAGATGGCGCGTAACGGAAAAATGTGACGACGTCACGTGACGGAATTTTTTTTCCAACGCCGATAAAGAAGTTTCACTTCAAAAAAGAAGTTAGTGTTCCAGTCCAAATGTATCAATCGGAAAAAGTATAGTATTCAAAATTTAACAGTTATAGTTATTTATTGATTTTCTTTAGTGAGAAACCCATGTCCTAAACTAACGTATCTTTTGACTGGTAAGAAAATATATATGAACTAAGTTTAAGTTACCCCTAACTTAACGAGTTGACAGAGCAAAATTCCCTTTTCCCCTCGCCTCAACATATTCCTAAGCTAACAAACCTTTGAGCCTCATGCGACGATAAAAAAACGCAATATCGCCTGAAAAATTATTCGAGTGCCATAATATTATAATAACGTACTTTATTGGTGTTTTGCTATGCGCATAATTATGCTAATCGTCGAGTCGCGATGGCATCCAACTTTCATATTTTATGTTGCATATCGTCCTCTGGGACTCTTATTGTGTTTTAAAGGCTTGATAACGATAACACATGTTATAGAGCGAAACATTTTCTTGAACTGGGTGATTTAGACAATAAAACAAGTATATTCAGCATATATTTAATTTTAACACAGTATATTAAAATATCTGTATTATACATTTGATCTGATTTTAATTGATAATGTTAATATATTCTCACTTCTACTTCCGTTTAACGATCTCTCCAGGCGGAGTGTCTATCTTCTCCGACGTTATCTCGTACTGGGCGTCCAATCTGTAAATAAAATAAATTTAAAAGCTATTTACTATAATAATGAAAATCCATTCGCTAGAGCTCTATTTCGGTTTTAGCCTGATTGCTTTTGATTCTTACATCATTTCTTTTTCACAACAAGTTTCTCGTACAGCTACGAGTGTCCATTGCGTACATAAAATCCTTAGGTGCACGACCTTAAAGATAACAGTCGCTGGCTTGGCCTTGGCTTAAACAAAAAACATATATACGCGAACCTTACATTTTACTCGACACACCTTATTTAAACACAAACAAATACAGATCTTTTTGTTTGAACATAAAACAACTAGCCCTTATTTTGTCTCTTTCTATGAAACTCTGTTTACGCTATGACGAAGAGAGACAGATAAGTATGTATATTTAAGTTAGTTTGTTTCCAAATGTGTTATACACTACGTAGGCTATTTAAATAGTAATTCTAAATCGAATCTACCGAGTAAAATGAAGCTGATTCCCCCATATCTCCCCCATACATTTAATGAGATGCAGATTTTACTTGGAAACAAGAGTATATCCATACAAAAATAACCAAAGTGTTTGACCGTAAAATTCGAAGGTGAAATGCAAATGGATGCAGGTAGAAGACAATTCTTTGAAATCCATGCATAATCCATTTGTGGCTTTTCCGACACTTTGCCACGTTTTACATTAACTTCGCTTCACAATATTTCATACCAGGCTTTGTATGGACTATATATCTACTATATACCTCCAGTTATCTATCTTTTTCATTTCCTTCTATATCGCTGTTATCGACTACAGTTTTCCGAGTTGGGACTTTAAATAAATTGTTTTTCGACATAAATAATAACTTTTAAGCACACTGAAGATACTTAAAGTTATTTCCAATAGAACAATAATAATATACAGGTTTATGGTAAAATAAAGATTCTTTATCGAAGATCTTTTAATTTTAAATCGAAAGTTCGATTCCAGAAACTCGAAGGTAAAAGGTGATTGCCCTGACTGTCCCCAGTTCGAGTCCCGACCTGTATAATTTTACCTTCATTATACATGGGTAAATTAAAGGCACTTTTGAATTTCTAGCAATGTTTACATAAAACTGAATCACAAATTATTTATCGGTACATCTTGACATTCTTCTCATTTTAAATAAATCAGTGGCGCTACAACCTTGTTAGGTCTGGGCCTGAGATTTCTGTATCTGTTTCAGAATCATTTGTCAATCTAATAGGCAAGTATGTGATCAGCCTCCTGTGTCCCCACACGCTATCGACTTTTTGGGTCTAAGGCAAGCCTGGCTTCCTCACGATGTTTTCTTCACAGTCACAGTGAAAGAAAGTCCATTGGTGCACAGCTGAGGATCAGCCTACGACCTCAGGGATGAGAGTGCTGAAGCTAGGCCAACACAGCTCTTCTCATATCAACGAATTTAATTTAAATTGAAGGCAATTCAATCCCATTTTTATGCGACAAGACTAATCTCGATATATCGAGTATGTCTATAGACATTAGACATACTTACGTTTTTAATTTTATTCACATGACCGTCATGATTATCAAATTATTTGTTATACGCTATTAAATTAAACGAACCTAAAAACTTAATATCTACTAGATTAAGTTGATAATAAATAACATTTAATTAAAACTTCAATATTAAATAGTTATCTGTCTACAGCAATTGCTCGATGACTGCGAGTGCCGTTATGTACCCGAAACGGTAGGAGTGTGTCATCTAAATGGTATTTTAAATTGTTAATTTTTTTATTTAATTGTAGTAGCCACTCGCGTTAACCAAAGACAAATCTGACAAATCGCAATATTTCTCGTTCTTCTAAGCATATCGGATGGTTGTATAATTCGACCTCTTATGTAACGATCCTGGCATTGAAATAAAAATCTCTAATACACAACAACATTTTGAACAGCAAAAATAGACTGCCTTCGGTAAAGCAATATTTCATAATAATGAAATAGCCGTGTTGTGTCGTTCACGTCGCGATAAAGGGTGCACAGCACTCCTTTGTACCGCTAAAAGGTTTTGTTCGTAGCTCATGATGAATTGCGTGGGACAATTAAGCCTATCGCCCGAACATCGTTTATTACATATTTTCATTCTTTATGTTGAGAGAAAGGGACTTTTCATTACTTCTGTGCTTTTACAACAAATTGTATTTTTTATTACCTTATAACTAAGCGTTCTTTACCATATGAACAGGCAATAATAAAAATAACTAGCTATCAATCCAAGAAGATCTTTCTATTGAGCTATATTGTTAATATGCTCTGTGAGATTGATATTCAATAAAATCGGAGTAATGCCCGTCATTTAAAATGGTCATCTCGTATAATGTAAGGAAAGGTTTTCCCTGCAAGGAACAATGCACTGCTGTTCAGGGCGCATTGAATAGTTGAATAACTGATGGGTAGCCATAGCGGTCACCGACCTGTACACCTGGGTACTTCACCTAGCCCCAGGGTTGTCAAGATTTTAAAAAGTACGACGTTTTTATAGCTTTCACAATAAGGTATACAGACTGAGAATTAAAAATTTACAGTACAAGCGTATCTAGTAAACGAACGATTGTGGTCTCATTACATTTTGATGTAAAGAGAGACGCTTTCATTTAAATTGGGACCATAATAAATGTGGTATTACTTTTGGCTATATTTGAAACATTAGTTTTGTACTCCCCGAGTCTATGATTCCGACATAAAGGTAATCGTTTCATCGGAAACTTAATTCCTTCAAGGCTCAGTCACTTATCTTTACAGTGCTGTTTGTCAACTCATAATTGTATATATTCTCACGGCTTAGTACTAAGAAATATCCCTCCAAGTGAATTGTGGTCGAGAATGTACACATATTCGTACAACCCTACGTTAAACTCACAAGTGTTCGTATAATACGGCATATTATGCAGCTTATTGATAATTCTTTTTATATTACCCCACGATTTATTTCAATCCCAAGAGCACGGGGTCGATGGACACCTACTTGTTAATATAATGAGGGGTCACTGAATTCAACGCCATTTGCACGTGCTTTCATTTCTATGGTAACCGGTAGTTTTATAGTTGACATTGTCTATGAGGAATGAAAGACGTCTTTGTCTTCGCACAAAAGGACCTGTGTGAACCACTTGGGAGCTATTCATTGAGAGTAATATTACTCTTATTACATTCTTTATTTATACCCACGTTATCCCATTGTTATTAGGTCAAAATACGAGCGGGTACTCGGGAGATTTTTATAGAAAAGAAGTAAGCTGTTAAGTCAACTCTTTAGATTCGTAGCAATTAGGTAAAGTTGAGATATATGGTAATACCAGCTCCTGAAGTATCCAGCGGACCACCAGCTGATTTGCGATACGGCTCTCGCCGTGGTCGCTCAGCTGGTGACCACCTTGTATACCTTACACATAGGTGGGCAGAGGCAATTAAGTTTAAGGGGCAGGTGCTGGCGGTTTGGACGTAGCGTAAGCCATCGATCGGGTATGGCACAGAGCACTGCTCTCGAAGCTTCCAGCATATGGGCTAACTTTGAGAAGTTATGCTACTCGATATCTAGCTTTCGGAGCATCAAGGTCGTCATCGACGGAGTATGTTCCGACCTTAAATCCGTGAATGCTAGGGTCCTACAAGGCTGTGTCCAATCCCCGACTCTGTTTTTGCATATCAATGATATGTTGCAACTTAGCAACATTCACGACCGCACTGGGGATACTCTTTACACTAGCCGGGCAGTTGTCGATGAGTACCGGAACAAACTTGTGTCTGAAGTCGAAACAGTGCTACGTGGAGTCTAAGAATGAATGAAAAAACTAAATCTAGTTCATTTTAACCCCAAGAAGACACAAGTTTGCACATTTTCCGCTAAAAAAACTTCCTGTCGCTACTCCTCTCTTTGAAGTCACTGTCCTGAAATCCTCAGCTAGCATCGGAATTTTTTAAGAAAAAGAAAAGGCCGCCAACGCACTTGCGCGCCTTCTGGCAATTTGAGTGTCCATGGGCGGTATCACTTAACATCGTATGCCTCCTATAACCTGAGTCTGGTACTCTTGGATATAAATCCTACATCACTAGACAATCACTTATTTATACTGTACAATATATATTATAATAATATTTTGTGCAATTTAGTGTATTTATATACTCCTGACAACATTGTATTAGCAAAAACTACTTCCCAAAATATTGCCATAAAAACGTAAAAAATATTATTTCAAAATTACGGGAATCGAAAGACATTTAAATGATCTAAACCGAATATATCTAATAGGTTGGGGAAAAAGTTTCTTCGCATTTTTCAAGAAAATTCACAACATTTTTTAATATAGTTTATTTACATTTAACTAAAGTATGTAGGTACCATTTTGTTCGATAACTTTTTGCCATCTTGTAGGTAGGGATATGATCCCATTGCTATAGAAATTTTGGGGCTTCTGATCAAAATACCGCGACAATTGGCTTTGGCAGTCCTCTCGTGATGTTAAACTGACACTGCCTAAAGAATTCTGAAAAGACCGAAACAGGTGGAAGTCTGAAGGTGCAAGGTCAGGTCTATACGTCGGATGCATTAACACCTCCCAGCCAAGATCTCTTAATTTCTGCTGAGTGGCTAAAGATGTGTGATGTCTAGCGTTATCTTGATGAAAAACCACACCCCTTCTGTTAATTCCGGCCGCTTTCTCTCAACTCCTTGCTTTAATATCATCAGTGTTTCGCAGTAGAGTTCAGAATCGATGGTCAAAAAAAAATTGAAAAATAAATTTGAAAAAAAAAAATTGAAAAAGCTAAAACCAAATTTGTGCTACTCTCACAGACACTGCCCTAGGTCCATAAACATCGCAAAAAAAATTTCGTTGCATTTTTACCTTTTTTGTAGTAAAATTTTAAAATGTATCGAATTTCTTCATTAGATTCACTTATCTTGACGGTACGAAAAATAAATAAAAATCACACATTATCCTAATATGAATTTGAAATTTTCTTCTTTAAAATCTCAACTTTCAATGATAACAAAAACAGGCAAATAGATACAGTGTAGCCAAAGAGATTTTATTACAAGTTCATACATAGTATAATGCGAAAAGACTTTTTCCCCAACCTAATATTATAACCGTCGATGTCAAAGCGAGATACTTAATAACAATGTTTTGTCACTTATTATTTATCATTTAGTCACGCTTAAATTAAAAAAATCTAATAATGAACACAAATGAGGGTGAAATTTGTGGTTAACCTTTTTTTGCGATTTGCAGTGCCAGAGCAAAAAAAATAACCGAGAAAAACTGTTACATTACATTATACACAAATATTTTTATACCATACGAAGATATCGACGTGTCACAATGTTACAGATAAAATACAAAATGACTTAGCGTGTTAGCTATTACCTAGTCCTTTTTAAGAATTAGGTTGTTGGTAGATTACGTGTCTTGTCTTTAGTAATTAATTTAATAAATAGTAGTGTAAGAGCGTTGTAAATGAGAACAATCGGTATTTATATATACCTGAGGTTCCTCAAACGGCAGTCTGATATGATGCTGATGCGGGAGCGGGAGTCACCGATCAATGGCGGAAGGGCGTTCTTTGATCGGCTCATTATACTGTAATTGTTCATTTTTATTAGAAATTATTCTCGGTAAACAACAGATTTGGATTAGACGGTAAAAATAAAGGTTACATTGAGACAAAGTCGCCTTAATTTCTTGGCAGGTAATTTGTTTAGTTGTATTACAATTACGTATATCATAATACCTTAATCGGTGCATATATTATATTACGACGTTAAACGTTGCGCAGCTTAGAAGTCTTATCTACAAAATAATACTAAGATTTCACCCTATTTAAAAAAAAATATTATTATAACAGTCCAAACTAAACATAGCATAACGGGAAAGACCATGGAACATACCTCGGTCTGCTAAAAACCTTGCTCTTATCCGTAGCTTTTCTTTTAGGTCTTAGTCGATCCACGATAGAATCACCAGCACCGTGAAGGGACCCTTCCACGGGAGTTGTGGTCTTCAAAGCACTATACGTGGACTCCTATACACATAATTAACAGAATAGAAACATTAAAAGTTATAGTCAGTTAATAGCTGAAGCACCTTACTGATGAAGGGCCAGCCCATCGGTACGATATCTCTTTATCTACAATATTTTTTTAAACCAAGACCTACTATAACCTGAACTAAACTGGTACAGACTACAGTATATCGTCCCCGTAGAGCGAAAACTAAGTCAAAAAATTTCCAAAATGAGTTATCTATCCCATTAAAACTATATTATTTTTATTTATTTAACTGTCTAACTGTCAATTTTGTAGGTATCCTAGTTTCCGATTTACAAAAAGTGAAAATTAAATAAATCTATTCTGTGGTCCTAATAGAAAATAAGAGAAATAACTAAATCATGTTAACTTTTTTTTATTTATCAAAAACTTACATAGCTTATAAAAATAAATGATTTAATTACTTCATTTTAAACTTTTTAATCAATAGGGAGTGTAGAAGATTGTTTTACATAAAAGTAGTTTGATATTATACTATTATAAAGCAAAATGCCTTTTAAAAAAAAGTTTAAAAAAAGTTTTTTTGTCATTATGTATATTTTGTATATCTACCAGTTAGTCGTAAATTACCCAACTCAAGTGATTTATCATAAAAATAAACTCGATCTGAGTGAAAAATCACTAACTAGGGGCGAATATTAACTAATTCATAACTACATCGGATATTCTACAGAGAAGAAATAACTAATAGTTTTTTTTTAGGTTTTCTCAGTAATAACTTAATCATCACTATGGGCAGCTAACATCATTTTAACTTAATTTGATTTCCTTCAAAATGAAACTAAAAACATTTTTTGAAATATATAATATGCCACAAAAGTTATGGCATTTTATATATTTCAAAACTTTAACCCTCATTATCTCGAAACAGGTTTTTTGTACTTAATGAGTTTTCGCTCTACGGGGACGATATGGTACTACGTAACTACCTTGATAGAGAGGTCCTCAGTGCTGTAGTCTGTGACCTTCTGCAAGACCTCACTTTCGGCACAGATGTTGGGTTCACTCATTACACTGCTGGAGCCCTAAATACGACAAGATTTAGGAGTCTAGCACAATAATCGACTATAGACAGAAATCTTTTTTTTATATATGATAAATATTTTTTAAAACAAAAGATGTAAATGAAACGTTCAACGAGAAATATCATATAGGTATATCAAGTATCCATTTCCGCAAATAATTATAAGAATGCACAACAAAACTAGGAAACTCTTTACTCTATTATGTATTGGCAAAACAACACTTGATTTTCTTTTTATCAAACATTTACACGCGCAATAGACTTCGTTACTCATAAGATTCTGGTATTTTGTGTAACACAAACGAATTAACACTCACGTTGCTCATGGCTTTTGTGTAGTGATCAGACTCTGGTTCAATTGGCAGGTTGACTTTTCCAGGAAACCTGAGAATAATGTTTCGATATATTGCTTAAATAATACAGCATTACCAACTATAACTAACTCTATAGTTGATAATGCCGAGTACCTCGAAACAGACACCACGGTCCCAGAAAAAACATTCACGGAAGACACATCGCCTATAAATATGATAATAGTAATAGTTAAGCAATGTCTTTTCCATATTCCTCTGGATTACAAAACAACACCCACCTGCAACACAGAACTGACTGCGTTAGGTACTAAATTTACAGTTATATTAAACAAACCAATATTCAGCCGATATATCTTCAACCAAAGGCATGTCGATGGAAGAACTGCTTGGCCACTTCTTCAGCCCTTCTTCCTGCCACTCCTCCTGAATAATCAGATCCTGACGGCACCAGCTATCCTTCGGCGAGGGGTCAGGTAACTCGTCGGGAATCCATGACTCTCTTCTTTTGGGAATGTAACAAGGCGGGTACGCGCTCGGATCTTCGCCAGGATCGTGACGGTAGAAGTGCCTGTAATTTAAGGTACATAATATGTAAGATGTGCTTAGCTAAATATGTATCCAAGCCACTTTTTTATTTCAATTAAAAAGTATGTTAAAAAATAAATAATATAGTAATATAATATAGGAGTTTACCCACCAGTCAATTAGCTTAAGCCACGCTTGCGCCGCGCAATGAGCCGTAAAGAGAGCCGTCTGGCGCTGCATGTACTTGACAAAACAAATTGCTAAAGCATCATCTAATATCTCTTCTCGTATGTCGAGGATCATCAAGTCATCTTCTTCTTTTTGAAGTATCTCAGCCCTTACAAGTTAAGATAAGTAAGTATAACAGTTAAATTGATATGTATAATTTTTGAATTGCAGTTACATATTTCTTTTAACGGCTTTTGTAAGCAGAGCCCACCTAATTATAATAGAGCTAAGAGAACACTAATTATTGGGATTCAGTACCAAATCCGCTCGGGGACATCTTTTGGAAGAGCCATTAACGTCCTTGCATCGTCTGCCATTATAAGTTTTCTTCCCCTTCTGGACAATTTGTATTTACCTCCAATATTGCTCAACATGATTAAACTTGATTATACAATTCGATCAAAAATTATCACATATAATACAAAAGTACCAATACCAATTTGAACTATCAGTTCGATTTCTTTTTTATTTTAAGATTTAGGATTCAATTTGTTATGAACCCTACAAAGAGTTTTTAATTTTTTCATATTTTTTTTAATCATAGAGCATCATTCGAAAAGGTTATCTATACATATAACATGGTAATGAGCATTTTCGTCTAAAATCGCGAGATAAAGAGATAAGTGTGAGGGAGCTTATCGATTGATAAGCGAAGGCTCTTGTTCAATGATTAATAGATAATCAGTTTGAATTTGATTACATACAGTTATGATAAAATCTTTCTTTCGGAAACTATAAACCATATTCGTGGGTCGTAAGGCATGGTTTGATGTTTACACAAAATAAAACAAAAGTGGCCAGAACCAACATTGTCTGTGAATTTAACGGTTGACAGCTGTTTGAAAATAAAATTGACTAAAACCGAACGCAAGTTGCTTGAACATCGAAATTATTTTTTATCAACTATATCTACTGTAAAATGGAAAAAAAACATATATTTTAGTGAATTATTTTGTGCATAAAGGACTCTAAATGATGAGAGTATATTTTCTGATGTTAATTTCTGTTTATTGAGAACAATGTACACCCTGAAGGGTATTTTTCCAGAGCCCAGTAAGTCTTAATAATAAGTATCTAATGATTCTAATATGTTAGGGTAAGATTCATTTTGGAGACTGAGCCCTAAGCTTGACTCCGTTATGTCAATTCTAATATATGTCATATAAGGGAGTCAATTTGTGTTCTCTAAGTCTCAAATCATCTTGAATTGAAAAGTTTAAACTTAAAATAAAACTTTTCAAATCACATCTAATCTTTACCTATTAACTTTAAAGATGTTATGATAATTTTATATTTGTGGTCTTGTTTTACTTTGTTCAACTCAAGATTGAATTTTCAGAAAAAGAACCAAAAAAGAACTTCATAAAAGAAAACATGAAACAATTAAAATTTATACAAGGGAAGCCACCAAAAGACCCAAAGTTTATATTAAAGCCTGGGCAACACAGACTAACAAGCTCCTTAACAGCATCAACTACTTTAGGTCAAGTGAAATCCTCTCCCTCCAGTAAAAGTGGTAAAGTTACACTTAATGTTGCCAAAACTTGTGCTTCAGGTTACCGAAGAAGGCAGGACATTAGGATTAAAAAAGGTGACATGGCAGAGTTTTTAAAACGAAAAGAATTAAGACAAGCTCAGACTAATGATGATACAGAGGATGAAGTCAATTCAAATGATAGTTCAGGCCGCCTGCGGGACATAGGTTGCCAAACTATTGAAACCAATCTATCTCAGAGGCTTGAAAGTGCAAAGTTGACAATGTTGTATCCTAGAGAAGAAGACAGTGAAGCTAAGCTGAAGGCTAGTGGAGATAGTGAAAGAACTAAAAGTCCTTCATCGCTAACACTTACACCGCGAAGAGCAGGTGATGATTTGATGGATGAAAAACATAGGAGCAAACTGAACTCGATTTTAGAGAAAAAGGATAAAGATCCCTACCTTCCTTCAGGTATATTTTAGACCTAGTAGTAATGTCGACTCAGTTTCTGCACTTAGACGCACATTTGGTCTGTTATATGTAAGTCCTGACTATGTGCCTGTGGAGGGTGCGTCGCAGGCTTCACGGAGCCACCTCACTGCTCTGCGGATTTCTGCTTGATTTTGATTTGATAGATTTTCTGTGCCAGCTGTAAGCAATTCGGCTCCCCTCTTTGCAAGCTTACACTACACCCATTGCAGGGTAACCCCGTTTGTCAGGGTTATTACCTCCAGTGCATGGGGACACTAAAGTATTAGTTTGATGTTTGTCTTTTTGTATTTTTTTTGTTTTTTTCTCGCCATCATCACAGCCACACTTTCGGATACCGATTTAATATTTAAGTCATTAATTCCTTACTATTGTACAGCTCTCAGTTAGACATGTGTGTGCCTCAAGGTAAATGTATTTTACTGTTGAAGTCAAAAGAGAAAATGTTAGTGCTAAGGGTTATGATTATTTTATTGTGGCATAGAAGATTAGGTTTATTTTTGGTCTCAGCATGTTGTAGTAGGACAAAACCAAAAATAATAAGGCTTATATCTGCTAGGTTATCAAAAAGGAGTGTTACCAAAATATCTCCGGGAGAGGAAAGAGCAAACAGCAAAAGAATTTGAAGATACTAAAGCTGATGAAGACCATATTATGTGTCCTCCGGGTCATGTCACATTGCCAGATAATGAGAGGAAGGAGACTTTACGGATGCTTCGAAATAGTAAGTTTTTTATTATTATAATGAAAACAAAATGATGATGATCACAAACACTAATACATGGATTCTAAGGTGTTAGTATGCTGTTCATTCCTCACCATAGTTACTTTTGCTTACTAACCCAATTATGGTCTGAAATAAATAACTATAATAATGTGATGTTAATCCATATAACATTTGTCTATGTTAATTAATATTACTAAACAATTCCCTTTTTACACTAATATATATTCTTGTTACACTTATTTGTACTAATACTATAAAATTTTCTTTATAAAATATAATATATAACTCAATATCTTTTATTAGTCTTCAGGAGTTTTAAAATAGTTGAGTTTATACATGCTGTTCTTTTTTCCAATAAACAATACAATGTTATATGTGAATCCATATAATAGCTTTTTGTACTTATTTGGTTCTATAAATATCTATTTCGATAGAAACATTAATAATTATCCAATTAATTCATGTTAACTAAAGCATAAGTATTATCTAATGTATATAATAGCCTTTTATTTCATGCATAATTAATATCAAACAAGTACACATATAAATTGAATGATATAACTATGAGCTTTATATCAAGCCCATTTAATGTTTCAATCATATCTCATGTTTCATAATCATAGTATCTTAACCCCAGACATATATTCACCTGTTAGAAAATTTATTATTAATATTAGTTAATATTTAAACAACTTATTATAAATAAAAAAGAAAAATATGGAAAGTTAATATGGATTTTTTTTAAACCATTTAGGTTTTGCGGAGCTTGTGAGTGAATTAAACAAAATGCCAGTTAAAACAGACACATTAAGGATGAGAAACAGAAAAATGGAGTTAGAAAAACAGCTGGCTAAGCTTGAGGAGGGTATCAAAGTATTTTCCAGACCTAAAGTTTTTGTCAAGATTGGGGAGTAGATCCCAGACAAGAATAAAAAAAGCTTTCATAATGATAATATTAAATTGTGAAGTGATTCATTTTGTTTATACTTGGATGTGTAACAATGAACTTGACTATTTTAATGATGTTTAAACCAAACTACTGGATTTTACAAACTATTTATAGAGAATTTAGTTGTAATTAAAATTGCATTTTCTGTAGAAAAAATTGTTAGTAATGAAAAAATTATTGTATTGGTCTAGTAGGAATTGTAATGTAATTGTAGTTTTAATTATTGTATGCTCCTTTAATTAATATAGAGGCGCTAATTAATGTTTGTATGATTTACAGTGACTTAAACATTTGGAATTTTAATTTAATTATATTTTCATTTTCTTATGATTTTTCATGGTCTTTTAAATCTTTTGCCAGAGGAATTCCTTTCATTAACAAGATTAAAAATTAAAAATTTAAAAATATGTGTAACTAAAAGGTTTTTATATTAAATACTACACAACAATAATATTATGAAACAAAATAGATATTGAAATAGGTTCTTGCTTTTCATAACTTTCTAACATGCTGAAACAAATGTTTGTTGAATATAATAGGGCCTTTTCTGTATAGCTCTTCATTACTACTGTGCCATTCATAGAATGAGAACTCTGGGAAGAAAAATTTTATTTCTCTCTCTGCTGATGTCAATGAATCTGAAATATTAATAAATATAATTTTTTGATTTAAAATACACTGTTTCAAAATTCTTGTGAGAACATAACAGAACAGTAAATAACTTTATTTATGATTACAATGATGTGCTTACCGGAGCCATGGGCGACATTCCTGGTGTCTGAAAGCCCAAACATGCCCCGTAATGAGTATGGATCTTCAAATTGGGCTTTATATACTTTGGTTGGGCCAAGCATTTTCCTCCATAAATGTATAGCGTTTTTATGTCCTAGCACATGAAGGTCTATGTACCCACTGTAAAAAATGCCATAATAACATACTGTGTATGTGTACGTATATAAAACAAAAAAGTAACCTTCATTTGTTCAATACCTGGACATAAATGTAACGAGCCTGTTGAAGAAAAACTTGTCTTTATGTTCAATATAAAAATTTGCAGCAGTTGACTTGTCCAGAAAGAGCCTTTTAGTTTTTATAACAACAAACTTATTTTTCAAAACATTTCTAATATATGTGAGTGCAACTGGATTTTTTACCGTATGTGGTTTAATAATTGCTAACGATAATTGTAACTTTGATATCATTTTAAAGGAATGTGTAACTTTCACAAATTATATGCATTTTAAGGGCTTCGAATTGTACATAATACTATTTAAAAAAGATATTTTTTAAAATTCTACCGGAAACAGCGAAACGACATTCGCAATTTACTCTATTATCTCTTCTATAATACAGATTACTATCAACTATCAAGTATAGGTCTTTGTGAAAAAGCATTGCTAAATTTCTTTGAAAAAATAATTAAAACTCCTTTATTTGTTTATAACTACTACTAATGTCATTATGGTCATTCAAAATTCTTCGCATAGCTGCTAACGTCACGCATATTCTATTTCTTTTTACTTGTAGATTGTCTTATTCCCAAATCCCATCTCGCTATAGGCGCGTTATGAAAAATTGATGAGAGTGAAATTTTACGATGCGCGCGCACCGTGACACAAAATTAACAGAATGAAGTTGCCCACGGAAGATGCTACGGCATTGGACATAATTTAAAAACAACATTCGAATAATAATAGAATTTATGTTACACTTAATGTAAGAGAATAATAATAAATATTTATTTATTTAATTTTTCAAATGTAATCTGAACTTTATTGACTATAATGACTCCATTTCCAGTCTTTAATTATTTAATTGTAATTAATTATTTGCATGCAATCAAAAACTATTTTTAATAATGCCAAAGATGTATAACTTCTTACATAAGTACACGCACCCTTTTTTTTATTAAAGAAACATAAAACAATTTTTTTTTATTGGCTATTCATTTTCCTAAATAATAAAATATTATTTAGGAAAATATATACGACAATATATAAATTTTTTTTTCCAATCAAATATCTTGGTCACCCTTCCAAAGTTGAAATGCGTCTTGTTGTCTAGGAACGTTTAGGAAACTCGTTAAACGTTTCGTTCAGTCACTTGTCTGACGGAACTTTAGCGACTTGATTGAATATCGATCTTTAATTAAATGTCTAGAGATTCAATTAACTCTCTGATTTAACTACTTTACTGCGACATATATATCCACAATATTCGGATAATGAAAGTGTTGACTATTGACCAGTGTTGCCAACTTAATTTTAACGAACCCACCAATTTTGCCGTCGCAACCCACCAGAAAACCACTAAAATCCACACTAACTAATAAAATAAATGTAAGTGTGTTTGTTTATTTATCCTTTTTTCACGCCGAAAGGAAATATAGGATCGATGTGATTTTTATGTCCGCAGATAGGAGGGGGTTAGGCAAGCAGCCGGCGAGCACTATTTTTTTGTTTTTACCGCGGGAAACACATGTTTTACTGAAGTAAACAGTAGTCTATGGACTATGTCACTCTTTACTTTAGATGGATAGCATACAGCTAGGATATATTTTTTGACAATAAAAGAACAATATTGTAAATTGAATTATAAAATTCGTTTATTTTCATTACAAAAAAACTTATAGAAGACATACAAAATCGTTAAAAATCATCTTCAGCAGAGTCGGATTCCTCTGCACCTTATGATTTTAAGTACATTTCTTTCGTTCCTATTTTCTGGACTACATAATTTGGCAAGATGTAATTATTGCAACACTTTCCTTCGCGTTTTAAACCTGCGCGGATTGTCATAATAGATGACAGTAGATCTAGCTTCATTCGGTTTCTGTGTTTTGTCTTCACGATATTCATAATGCTGAATAATCGCTCTACGCATTAGAGTGCGGTAAAACTAATAAAGATATAGCAAACGTGGCTAAATCTTCAAATCGGTTTTCTCCTGCAATGTCTTCGAAATCCAGCACCTCGTACCAAAATTCCACCAGCTGTACTTTCCACCACTTCCAGCCAGTCCTTTAATTGGGAGTCCCGTAACCAACAATCCCGGAACTTTTGCGTATATTGCGGTTTTGGCATTTTGTTTTAAAAATAAACTAAACATTTGCAAACAAACAAGGTCGCTCCGATGCATAGCATAACCAAAACTACTAAGTATCTGTGTTGTGTATTTCTATTTTTGTGCATGCATACGAAACGAACACATACAAATCTCATTAATTCAAATCAAATTTGACCCATTAGTCATACGAATAAAGCCCATAATCAAAATAATTTAAGAAATTGATAAACTTGTTTCGGAAAATTCCCGAAAATAACGAACGTAATTTTACAGAGTTGCCTACATAATGACAAAATATTCCTTGATAAGGTAAACGTTTTCGTCTTTTCCTGTAAAGATATCACTCGTGCTAGTGGTTAAATGTCGTAGCATACCACTGAATGAAACAAACTAAACCACTAGAAAAATCCACTAGCCACTAAAACCAAAATTCGCCCGCTAAAACGTATATCTAAACCACCAGATCTAGTGGAATATCCACTAAGTTGGCAACACTGCTATTGACATATTTGTTTATATTGGTTGTCAAATATTTATTGTGTTGAAATTTGAAACTTAGGTAAATAATATTCGAAGCATAACAAGAATAATACTTAAAAATTCAACAATTTTTATTTCTTTTTGTGTTAATATCTCAATAAAGTAGAAAACTTAATATTTAATTTGTATTAATTGTATTACTTTCATAAAATCATGAAGTTCAGCTAATCTGTATCACGACATTCATTGAGTATTGACATTTGAATTTTGACTGTTAGACCGTAGACGGTACAAACTACAAAGTTCGCCGGGTCAGCTAGTATATTTAGTATAAAAATAGTATAAAAATTTAATTTAAAGCAATCTTAACTAATTGTGCTAGATATTCGACTTAGAGACAATCAGCAAGTAACTTATTCAACTAAATGTAGCACATTTGCAAACTACAAATAGCTATCTCAAGGCTGACTAGAACTAACAATGGTTATTTGTAAATATTTTCTTCAAGGATGCTGTCGTTTCGGGCAAAACTGCAGATATGAACATGTATATAGTTCTAAATATTCATATCAAGGTAAAAATACTACAATAATTTATAGAAACTATAACAACTGTAGCACTATTATATTAGATATTATAGAACGAAATCTTAATTTTTCTTAAATGTAGACACTATAAAATTGGCCCCCAAAAACAATATTTCTCAATAATTTTGATCTTGCTATTATAAAAAATATGTCATATGGTTGCTATTAAACATTTTAATATTGTAAAATAACACTTAAATTTTACAGGAAACACTACCAGCACAAATAGTAATGTAACTGACGACCAACTTGTTAGCCAAGTGCAATCTGACATTCAAGCCGCTTTAAATGGTGGACAATGGATACTCAGCTGCTATGCCCCTTATAAAGAAAAAGCTTGCTTTCCGGGTTTAAATGATCTTTCGCAGGAGGAAGCCAGACTTATTATATATGAAGCTAAGGCCAACCAAACATTAGAACAAGCTGTAGGTATATTTTTTCTTATTACAAATTGTAGGTGGATCTTGACAATAATGTTTTTTTTTATATTTTCAGGTAATGTATATGAATAATTTATTTAAAGAAGCAAGGCATAAATATCAGCAGCTTTTACAACCTTCAGCAGTGATTATAAAAGTTTTACAAAGTATATATAGAGGAGAACCAGTATCTTCACCTTTTGAACTGGAAAAGCAAGCTTTTGGATCCCAAGCGACATCTTTATTCCGTAATGCTGTTCAGAATGACCCCTTTCAAAATAATACTAGTACACAAACAAATTCTGTCTTTTCAAGATTGGGTACCCAAACTACAAATACTTTCAACAGTGCCCCTAAATCAATATTTGCACAAGCAGCTCAGAATACTTTTGGACCATCTCAACCATCTAATCTTTTTCCAACACAACCCCAAGAAAACACAGCAGCTAAATCCCTTTTTGCCCAAGCCAGCCAAAGTGTATATGGGCAAAGTGTGTTTGCAGCAAACCATCCAGCTCAAAGTGTTTTTTCTGTAAGTCCACAACAGCAAAATCCTGCTAATCCATTTGGTATACCACAGCAAAACCAGACTGGGAATGTGTTTCAACAAAATACTCTGAGTAGAACAGGATCTGATATTTTTGGTATTTCAAGAAATGCATTAGAAAAGGCTCCAGCCGATGATGAAAATGTCTATAGTAAAATTGAAGATTTGTCTGAACTAGACTTGGAAGCCTACAACAGTTCTGAGTTCAAATTAGGCCTAATACCAGAATTACCACCGCCTCATATCCTATGTGTGTAACCCATAATGTAATTAAAGAACAATAGGAATCTTTAGTCGAAAGTAGGCAAACAAGCATTTTTAAATAAAAACTTTGCATGTTGAGTGAATGTGTTTAATGGGCATGTGTATAAAGACACAAAGCAATTTGTGCATTTTTTTTATTATATTTTAACAATACTCTTGTGAACTGCAACAAATATTGTTTATTATAACAAATATCATAAAATTACTGTTTCTTGTAGAAATTGCAAAAATACTGTACATTCTGATTTTATGATATTCAGTCTGTACTTGTGCATGTAATATTATTTGGATTTCGTCCCCGTAGAGCGAAAACTCATTAAGTCCAAAAAACCTGTTTCGAGATAATGAGGGTTTTTTGAAATATATAAAATGCCATAACTTTTGTGGCATTTTATATATTTCAAAAAGTGTTTTTAGTTTCATTTTGAAGGAAATCAAATTAAGTTAAAATGATGTTAGCTACCCATAGTGATGATTAAGTTATTACTGAGAAAACCTAAAAAAAACTATTAGTTATTTCTTCTCTGTAGAATATCCGATGTAGTTATGAATTAGTTAATATTCGCCCCTAATTAGTGATTTTTCACTCAGATCGAGTTTATTTTTATGATAAATAGGTTTAAAGACTTTATTTCTCAAAAAAGACAAAAAATTTCACTTAACATAACATAACATTGTAGTCGTTCTTAAAATAATCACAATAAAATATAGCCGTACATGCAATAAATTTAAAAATAAAAGTAAACAAAGAAATATGAATTAAAAGTAATTATAAGAAATGAATTTAAAAGTAATTTTGTTTAACATATTCACTTAGCTTCGATTTGAATGAATTAATAGATAATAACTTGAGTTGGGTAATTTACGACTAACTGGTAGATATACAAAATATACATAATGAAAAAAAAACTTAAGAGTTAAAAGACATTTTGTTTTATAATAGTATAAAATCTAACTACTTTTATATAAAAAAATCTTCTACACTTCCATGGATTAAAAATGTTAATATAAAAGTAACTAAATCTTTTATTTTTATAAGCTATGTAAGTTTTTGATAAATAAAAAATAGTTAACATGATTTAGTTATTTCTCTTATTTTTTATTAGGACCAAAGAATAGATTTATTTAATTTTCACTTTTTGTAAATCGGAAACTAGGATACCTACAAAATTGACGGTTAGACAGTTGAATAGAGTAAAAAAATATAGTTTTATTGGCATTGTTAACTCGATTTGGCCATTTTTCGACTTAATGAGTTTTCGCTCTACGGGGACGATTTATTCTTTTACTTAAAGCACCGATCAGCATTTTGCGTCTAATGTGATTAGTTAATTCTTTGCAAGGCTATTGTATACGTTTTTTTTCAACAAAATCCCTAGTTATACAGTCACAAGACATATTTCCTAATCTTTAAACGGAAACACCCACGCGTGTTCTCACGGAATATGCTGACGGACTGTCTAGCTCCCAGTCTCGATTATTAGATATTAAGTTAGTCTTAAGCTAATCACCAATGTAACCGGTTGATTAAATATTAATTAAAAATAAAATTTTATTCTTTTTAAAAACGCTCCAGCGCGACCTCGCGTTTTGACTGGCGCAGCCGGTAGGATTTTCACATCCCGCGAGTATATAACTAAATTGAAAATACTCAAATCGATTTTCTTAGTTCTTGAAATACCGTGGACTGTCTAATAGCAGAGTGAAAATCCGCGAATCAAATAAATAAGTCAAATAGAAGAGCATTAAAATAATATCCGGTGCAGTGTGTGATTAGTGACTCAGGAAGAATGGAATTGGGCTGGCGGTGAGTAAACCTTTTCACTTCCCGCTAAAATTTTCATTTTATTCCACATATTATATATTATTACATTATCTGATTTTGTTTCGTACCAAATCTACGAATAAAATTGTACTCAGAGCAGTGTTCACAACCTGAAGCCAGGCAGTTATCGTACCAGGGCCGTAAAATTATCGTATATGTGATCCATATACGATAAATTATCGTACAGTCAGGAAAATGGCTAAAAATACTTTAAAAATCATATGAAACGTGAAAATAAAATGTTGCAAACGATCTATAGTTTAAATCTTGTAAACTTGTGTTTTTCAAATTGAAAAAAATAATAATAATTCAATCTCTTCCGTCAAAGAGGAACAAAAATACGCAATATTTTCTCGTTGAACAATATGGTGTTCGCTCTAAGTGATATACCTATTGTCCGTAAACATCACATATTATTTTTATCACTTAAAATTCGTTAGGTATTAAAATGTTATCGAAGACTTCCAAATCTGCGTCACCATACAAATCGTGAATTTTTTGGCTGTGCATTCTGATGCGTTTTTGTGTTTGTACATTAACGCTTTGTTCATCTGCTGTAGTTGCCTTGTGACAGCATAAGTTCCTAATAGAAAAATAAGCCAATAGATGGCACTGACACTAAAAACTGTAATTGTTATTGGGCTATCTGTGTAATCATCAAATTTTTTATCAGACTGGAAATTATCGTAAAATCTGCGTACGATAGTCATGTACCATCGTACATCGTACGTAGTTATGAAATTATCGCAAATGTACGATAATTATCGTACGGTTGTGAACCCTGACTCAGAGTGTAATTAGATTAGGAACTGTAGTTTTAAAATTATATTGCACAAGAATAGGCAATATAATATAGATTAAATATATAGATAGATAAAAATTATATTGCACAAGAATAGGCAATATAATATAGGTTAAATATAGAGATAGATAAGAAATTATATTATTAATTAGTACGGATTTATTGCAAGTTCAAAATTATATAAGTAATTTAAAGAAGTGTAAGTGATTATATTGTATTTTTATATATAAAAATTAAAGAATAAAAATGTCAATGGAAACATTTAAATTTGTACCAAGGGAGGTTTTGTCCTTGATTCCCAAATATGATGGGACAGAAAACTTACTAAATTTATTTATTGCAAAAAGTGAATATGTGATAAAAGAATTTAGAGTCGAAGGTAATGCCGCCCAAAATTTATACTTATTTCATGCAATAACTAGTCGCTTAGTGGGTAAAGCGGCAACGCTATTAAGTGAAAATCAAAATATTACATCATGGGATCATTTTAAAGATATATTGACTCAACATTTCGGCGACCCGCGTTCAGAAGAATGTATAGCAATAGAATTAGAATCATTAAAAATTAAATCTGGAGAATCATATATAGAGTTCTGTCAAAGAATACAAAGTGTTAAAAGTTCCCTAACCTCAAAGGTTAATAGGTTAACCGATGAGAGTATTAAAGCAGCCAAATTAATCATTTATAATAATACGGCTCTTAATGTATTCCTTTATAATTTATCTGAAGATCTTTTACGTATCGTTCGTCTAAAGGGCTGTACTAATTTAGAGAGTGCATTAAGTGTTGTTACTGAAGAGGTTAATTTTCATTATCAATATTCTATTAAAAATAAATTGTGGAAGAATAGTGCATCCCCCCAACAAAATAATTTTAAACCTGGTATTCCTTCTCAAAATAATTTTAAACCTGGCATTTCTCCTCAAAATAATTTAGCATCAAATGTGCCTCCACAGAATAACTTTAAATACGGAATTCCCCCACAGAATAATTTACAATACGGAATTCCCCCACAAAATCACGTTAAGTTTGGAATGCCCACACAAAATAACTTTAAATTCGGGATACCACCACAGAACAACTTTAAATTCGGGATACCACCACAGAATAACTTTAAATTTGGAATGCCCCCGCAAAATAATTATCGGTTTGGAATTTCGCCTCAAAATAATAGTCGATTCGGTATACCTCAACAAAACTATAAATTTGGTTACCAGCCACAGCAGGGTCCTAGATTCGATATACCACATCAAAAAGAGAATCCACAACCAGTTAACACAGACGTTTCTATGCGAACCGCGCCGATAAGACAAAATATGATTAATGACTCTGAATATTATTACGAACCATACTATTACAACGACTATAGCGATTATGATAACTATGACTCAAGCGAAACAGCCATGTGTGAAAATTTTAATTTGTTAGAAAATCAAGAAAGTTCTAAAGATAACGAGGAAATAGATTCGCAGCAAGTAAATTTTCAGGGAGAAGCCTCGAATCATATACCGAAATAATAAATCTTAACTATTGTGATAGCATTTTAAAATTACCACACATATTAATTCCGGAACTATACGCAAAATTTCTTATAGACACTGGTAGTAGTCGTTCGTTTATCAGTCCTTCTAAAGTAAATGAATTTCTTAATGAATATAAAAGCTATGAACCATTTACAGTGGTTAGCACTCATGCTCGAAGTACACATAACGAAGTAGTATACATCCCTTTGCCGTATATTTTTAATAGCCCTTTAATGCATAAATTTTATGTATATGATGTAGATGCTAGATATCATGGTTTAATTGGCTCAGATTTATTAAAAGAATTAGAAGCTAGCATTGATATGAAAAATCAAATACTGTATACAACTGGTTCTGCCATACCTATATTATATAGTCCTCCATACGAAGCTATAATTGAACCCAGAACAGAATCAAAAATTAAAACCCCTACTAACCTACAAAATGGAGATGACATAGTAGAACAGGACAAATACAGTAATGGCGTTCGTATGCCAAATGCTATCGTTACATGTGAAAACTTCTTTGCAACCACCGTAATACAAAATACATCCGAGAAACCATTTAAAATTACTTTGAAAGAACCTATTAAAGTCTCAGTTTTAAAAAATAATGAAATTTGTAAAAGTAATTTTATAAATGAAACTTTAACAAATGATAATGTTTTTAAAGAAAATTTGTACAAGCTTCGTTTAGATCATATGAATAGTGAGGAACGTAACATAATCTCTAAACAATGTTACGAGTTTCGTGATAATATATTTTATTCTGATAAAATTCCTTTATCATTCACCAATCAGATTAAACACAAAATTAGAACAGTCATCGAAAACCCCATTTATATAAGACCATATAGACATCCAGCTTCTCGAAACCAAGAGATAGAAAAACAGATAAATACACTCTTAGAAGATAACGTCATAAAAAAATCATTTTCCCTTTATAGTGCAACGGTTCATTTGGTACCAAAAATAAAACATTTCCGGTCTTACTTATATGGAATAAAGAAACCAAATACTAAACTAACACGTTGGAAATTTCAAAAATGGAAAGAAAAATTCAAACACAGACACATTATCTAGAAAAAGAGTTAACACGCGACGTAGTAAGTATCAAAAAGCTCGAGTATCGGGTCTGATTCATAGAAACGTTGTTCCAGTGATACATAACACACTACCCTACAAACTAAAGTACATACTAAAGATTTAAAACGCCCTTCACAGGTTGTTACTCCTGCTGGTACATCTGATCCCAAGCCAGGCCCTTCAACTGCAAAAGATTAATAGAAACCCAGGCCTCCTACCCGTTAAAGAAGGTCAAGCAGTAGTAGCTTACGACAGATGGACCGTGATAAAGATTTTAAAGCTATCAACGACGAACTAGAACTAAATATAAATAACTTCTTAACACTTAAAACCGAAGTACAAAATTGTTTCGACACTAGCCTATTCAATTTGCACTTCCAAGAAGTACAGTTACAAACTAGTTTCATAATGAATATAACAGTGGAAAAATATAAACAATTAGTTCCGACTTCAAAATCTAAACGTGGTTTATTGAATCCTATTGGAACATTCATTAAAGCAATAACTGGCAATCTTGATAATGAAGATGCTATCAGATATGAAGATTTAATTAATAAATTAAAAACTAGACAGGACGCTATTAGTAATAAAATAACCATAGTTTCCGAAATGATGAGTACTGTAACAAAAATTATTAATGTAACAAGGAATAATTTCATTCAAATTAAAGAACGTTTTGAGGACATAGATCTCAGGTTAAACAATTCTAAAATGTTACAAATGAGTAATGAAATTATTCATTTTTATAATATTTTTACCCATAACTTTCAAACTATTTACTCAAGACTAAATGAAATTGAAACAGCTCTCGCTTTTGCTAGGATTAAAATATTACATCAATCTATTATTGATACTAAGGAATTACTGTCAATTTTAAAAGAAATAGAATCTATGTATAATTTAGTATTTCCAGTGAATATTGAAAATATTGTAAAAATGGAACTGAATATTGAGATGGAAGCGTATATCAAACAAAATCAGATAAAGTTTATTATGCACATACCCTTAATTAAAAATGAACTTTATAATTATTATAAATTAATACCTTTACCAGTGCATAGTAATAGTAATAATATATCTAACATTATCCTTCCTAAGTATCCCTATGTCCTAGTGAAAGGGTTGAAAGTCGAGCCGCTCTCACAACCATGCCAAGAAATAGATGAAAACCGATTTTTATGTCCTGAATTTGAAACTGCACTGGTATTGAAGGACGAATGTATTACTACACTAATGAATTTTTCCCCCAACACATCTTCATGTCGTCCTGTGCCCGTTCTAATCGAAGATGTCAAGATTTATTTAGTACAACAAAATCATTGGATAATATTTTCGAGAATAGAAACCATTATATCTAAAATGTGTGACAACGACGTTTCACATGAGCCATTAATGGGCACTTACCTGTTAACCCTAGATGATGATTGTTCGATAAGAATCAAGGATTTCAACTTGAAAAGAAACGAACACCAGGGAAACGATATCGCGTTTACCCGATTCCCAATTGTAAACCTACCGTTAATCTCCAGCGAAATTAAGTCACAGAACAAGCGTCTGAATTTAGATGGAATCGACCTTGCAGACGTTCAACTCTTAAACCTTTTGGTGAAAAATAGTGTTCCTACAAGTGTTAGTGAAAGTGAATTAAATCAATGGTTCTTTGGTATAATTAATATAGTAATAAGTTTTTTACTCATGACATGTGTCATTTTATTAGCATTTAAAAATAGAATTAAGAAAATTATGTTTCAACCTAAACAGAATATTCGAGATCATCCAAACCCTGAGGATAATCTCGATTCTAAGGAGAGAGGAGTTATACAGTCACAAGACATATTTCCTAATCTTTAAACGGAAACACCCACGCGTGTTCTCACGGAATATGCTGACGGACTGTCTAGCTCCCAGTCTCGATTATTAGATATTAAGTTAGTCTTAAGCTAATCACCAATGTAACCGGTTGATTAAATATTAATTAAAAATAAAATTTTATTCTTTTTAAAAACGCTCCAGCGCGACCTCGCGTTTTGACTCCCTAGTGAGATACAAGTGTTGTAAATAAATAAACAAATAAATTCAAATTGTAGGTTAAAGTAAAGGGTCTTGCTAAGGCCTATTATAATATAAATGAATATTTAAACGATCCTAGTGCTTGGATATGATTTGCTCCAGTATAAAGAGGAAACGCGACTGAATCTCTCGGCAAAATTTCCAGACTCTGGGGCGATCGGCAACATCCACGACTGTTTTAATGTACAGTGGGAGCAAACCACATATTAAATTATTTCAGTATAATTAGTATTTTTTTTTTTTTTGTAGCCAAGTTCACATTTCAAGGATCGTCATGCTCGCTTAAATGTCTTTGCTTGTGGCGGCGAAATATAATTCGAGGGGGCCATGCGTCATACTCGTGAACGGGTGCTACTTGCTTGCAAGTATGGTAGCACTTTTTCCCCCTACTAGAAATATGGCAAATATAAAAACGGTCACATTTTATCAAAATTATCGGAAAATACTAGAATTTTTGTGGATCAAATCGTTTGACACTCGTAATTAATGTACCAGCGCTATGACCATAATTTTTTTTTTCATTGCGTAATAAGACCCCTGAAGAATCGCCATACTGATACAAATAACCCAATATTTTGTGTCACTAGCTCTCACTCAGATTGTAGTTTTTATGTAATTTAAAGGTCAGAAATAAAAAAATGCTAAAAATTAAGCTTTAATTAATGATCAATTTCCCCCAAATAGATCTGTTTATCGCTAGATGCAGAAAGGATGATGGGTTCATTTTTATGAAAGTGTACATCATTGACTGCTCCATGATGTCCAGGAAGCTTGTATAAGATACGACGAGATGTTGTGTCCCAAATGTATACGAAACGGTCAGAAGATCCAGCCGATACCTAAAAAGGTTATATTTACTAAACTTAAACAAAATACTGCCTGTTATGCGAAAAACATGGCGTGAGATAATGGTTTTAGCAAAAAATATTATATATATACACTTGCTTTGCCATCTTGGTGTTGTTCAAATGGGGGAAACAACTGTCTCAGTTGAAATGTACAAAAAAATACCTTGGAGCCATCTGGAGACCAGGCACACCGGAGCAGATTCTTCTCAAAGTTGTGTTGATGGCCTGACATGAGCTTTACACATCTCTCAGCAGGCGCGAAAGGTCGCACGTCCCATATCCTTAAAGTGTTATCCATCGAATTGGACAAAAGGTAAGAACCGTCATTTGATAGGGCCATTCCTGCAAAATTTATATTCATCATCAATTTTATTATTTATCACTCAAGTGATTTCGGTGACAATTTTTATGAGTCTGCTGTAAAGCAGATGTCAAGTAAATAAGTAATGATTGCTCTGAGTACATACAAGTATTGTTTTTTGACCTGCACTTTGGGTCAACGCTACGAAGTTTATTCCATTACTTTCGTTTTTGCTACTGCAAATTTAATACTCTAAGCATATCCCAATTTAGACTACTTTATCAATTATATAGGAAAATTAAATAAGGTGATAAAACAATCCTATTTTAGTAAAAATCATTATACAATAATTTAATTAACTAATAAAACAGATAAATAGTTACCAATAAGTAATAGTCTCTCATTGTTCATTTCACACTGTTGTGGTGGAAATTATTGCTTATTTTGTACAATTATTATATAATAAGGTCATTCCCAAAACATGTTTACAAAAGGGCCAGTAAAATAACAAAAAAATAACTTAAAAACCATTTGTTTTTTGTTGCACCATTTGTTTTGCATTAAGCTAGAGCCTAGTAGTAGTCTGCATAGAGAGTATGTAAAAATACCAACTAGTAATTCATTAATGAATTGCAGTTAGTTAACTAACTTAAAAATAAATAATAGTTAAAAAAAAACTAAAAAACACGCTTTTAAAGCACATCAAACTAAAAAGTGACAAATAATTCGTCTATCGAGCAACCCACGCTTTTTCACAATAATACCAGTATTTTTTGTTCATTACCATTTTCAGCCTAAATTATGAATTGTTTTTCACTTTTTAGTTTGATTTGCTTTAAAAGCGCGTTTTTTTTAGTTTTTTTTAACTATTATTTTTTTTTTCGGATTATTGCATTGTCATCGATCTTTGACAGGTGCGCAAAATTTGAACTAAATCTGTCCGTTTAAAGTGGGTCAAAATCGAGTCCGAAGGAGTCGGTTACATACATACATACATACATACAGGTGAAGCTAATATAAAGCGTGTAAAAATCGATACCTATTGAAATCTCGTAATATGCAAAGAAAGAAAAAGAGAGGAACTAATATTAGGTCCTTACATATGAAATTGGGGTATTTCGTACTGGCCACTTTAATCACGATGTTCTCCTCTTTGGTAAGGAATTCCAAATTCAAATTTGTACAGCTATTTACTCATGTATTTGTGCTTCGATGACCGTCATTCATTTGTTTTTTTCTGTTTGCGTCACTCATTTTACAAAATGGAAAACTTAAAGTATCGCATTATTTACGAGTACGAGTTCCGCCGTGGCACTAGTGCTGCGGAAACGACTCGAAGGGTGAATGATGTGTATAGTGAAGTATTGAAGGCTATTGTGGAAGCGGATCCATCGCAAACCACGTCCGAGTTAGCTGCAGGCTGCGGTGTTAGTGATAAAACTGTTTTAATTCACTTGAAGCAAATTGGGAAGATTAAAAAGCTTGAAAGATGGGTACTTCACGAATTGACTGAAGCCAACCGGCAAACGCGCGTCGACTGCTGCGTTACATTACTGAACCGGCACAATAATGAAGGTATTTTAAACCGAATCATTACCTGTGATGAAAAATGGATTCTTTACGATAATCGGAAGCGCTCAGCGCAATGGTTGGATCCTGGCCAGCCAGCCAAATCCTGCCCCAAGCGAAAATTAACCCCAAAAAAGTTACTTGTAAGCGTTTGGTGGACTAGTGCCGGTATTGTTCATTGCAGTTTTCTCAAATCTGGCCAGACTATTACGGCTGATGTCTATTGTCAGCAATTGCAAACCATGATGGAAAAGCTAGCGACTAAACAACCTAGGCTGGTCAATCGCTCCACGCCACTGCTACTTCACGACAACGCTAGACCACACACTGCACAACAGACGGCTACCAAATTAGAAGAGCTTCAATTGGAATGTCTAAGACATCCTCCGTACTCCCCGGAACTTGCTCCAACAGGTCGTTTAACATTTTTTTTAGTAAAGGGATCAATGTACTACCTATGAGATGGCAAAAGTGCATAGAAAACAATGGTTCATACTTTGATTAATTAAAAATATTCGACTTTTTGTTCCTCCCATACAAAACGCCAATTTCATATGTGAGGACCTAATATAACGTCACACCACCAAAGGTGAAATATATAGCTATTAAATTATGTTTATTTCATACCTGTTATAGTATCTGTATGTCCTTTAATATTGTAAGCGATCTGTGTGTTTCTTATATCCCATACTTTAATAACATTATCCACTCCGCCTGTTATAATTTTCTCGGCCGTATCATTGAATAACACAGAAGTGACAGGGTATGTGGCGTCAAGTGACAAGATGTTATTCCGTTTCCTTGCATCCCATAGTTTTATTGCATTGTCATCAGAACCTGATACCAGTAATTCAGGACCTCTTCTAGCACCTGAAAGTTATGTAATTTTAATTAATTGAACAAATGCACATGGCATTAGCAACAAGATCCTAAATTTGCTTCCTAAAGAAATAATAATTGATAAGTTAATAAGTGCAGAATGCTTCTTCTTGCCTATAAAAAAGATTAATAAAACAAGAGAAAATAAGGTAATTGCAAGACGAGAATGATGATGGTTTGAATAATGCAAAGTAATAACCATGTTAGGTCTAACTGGCGATACATTTATACAAAATATACACATTATTTATTTATTTTTATTTATTTGCTCAACAGTATTCCTACAGCTACTCACTAAACAACATCCAAAAATTTACATTCTACACAAAAGCCAAAAACGGAATACACATTCAAACATAAACAAAGCACAGTATCACCTATATATACAAAAAATATAACAAAGTATACATGTATTTATAATAAATTCTAAGTTCTAAGATTCATTGATCATTATAATATATATTTAATATACAGGAAGAATAACAAAGCCATTATTAATAAAAGATACCAGTTTTTAAAATTATTTTTTAAACATTTTTTAGTTACATTAAATATATCTATTTGCTGGTAATTTGTGTTATAATCTGAAGGTATACCCTACATGACTGAGTTACGTAAATAGTTTGTATTAGACCGAGCAATTTTAAATAGTTGGGTTTGCCTTGTATTGTATGAAGAAGGGGTGTGAAATAGTAAAAGCGACAATAAGTCAGGACAGTCAATTAGACCGTTGCAAATAGCGTGTAAAAACATAAGGTCGTATTGTTTACGTCTACATTCTAATGATTCAATACCAAAGTACTTGCAGGAATCTATATATAGCTACTATACTTTTTGGAAATCCTTAAAACTTAAGAAACTTTATTTGAATGTTCTCTATTGCTTTAATGTATTTCTTGTAGATTGGGGACCAAACAGTGCATGCTTATTCTAGTGTGCTCCTAACAAAAGCAAAGTACAGACATTTTGTATTCTTAAAAGATTTGCATACTCGTTTGACGAAGCCAAGTTGTTTATATGTTTTTTCTGTTATATTAACCCCAAGTCTCCAACCAAATTCACCTGTTTAATTGTTGTATCTCTTATTAATAACAAAATTTTATTTTCTTATGTTTGCGGGTAAAAGTAATTTTACTAAATTTTCCAATATTTAAGGATAGTTAATTTTTTTTGTAGTAAATTTCCAATCTACTAAGATCCTGTTGAACACAGTTATCAATAGATTTAATTTTTAGAAATATTTTTTTGTTACATAAGATATTTTTGTATGTCTGCAAACATAAGATATTCTGAGTACTTGAAACAACTTTTTATATCATATAGATAAGCGTTAAACAACAACGGACCCAGTATAGACCCTTGAGGTACACCGGATGTCACATTTATAAAATATGTGCTCTTATGTCCACCCGTTACTACCACCTGCCTTCTATTCGTTACATAGGATTTGATCCATCTCCACGGATTTCTAGCGCTAATAGCTTATGTAGGAGAATGACATGATCAACCCGATCGAAAGCTTTTTCGAAATCCGTATAGATCGCATCAATTTGTTCTCCTTCGTCCATTCCCTTTAATATGTACTCGGTAAAAACGGTGAGGTTGCTGACATTGAACGATTTTTGAGAAAACCATGCTGCTGCTGTGGTAATTGTCTTAGGATAAGAGGACTTAACATTTGTTAACTAATTTTTCAAATAATTTGCCAAACGAATTTAGAATTGAAATTGGTCGATGATGTTCTATTTTATTTCTAGACCCTTTTTTGTGGATCGGAACAATGTGGGCTTCTTTCCATTTGGATGGGAAACTACAGAATACATTAAGCAACTGATTAAATATATTTGTCAAGGGTTTTGAGAGTTGTCTATAGCATTTTTGGAGAAAAATTGAAGGTATTCCCTGAACCTTCATTAATATTAAAAGATTTCAACTCTCTACAGACTTCATACTCGGTTAGTATTACTTGGTTGCATGTATCATCAGATTCAGGTAGATGTTGAAGATTGTAACTGGGTGTTAAAAAACACTTTTACAAAACCTGTTGAACCCTTCACAAGCTTCTGCTTCTGTATACTTCATCTCCAAGAATCATTGCCATTTGCCATTTGCCAGTGTAGCCTGAGCTACATTGCCGTTTATTTCTCAGATATTACATTATAGTTATTGTTTTTCTTAAGCTACGATAACCGATTCTGTGTGCCTATGGGCAAAGGCCTCCCCCATTGTCCTCCATTTTTCCTCATTGCATAACAATCTCATGCTCAGGTCTTAGTCTTTCCAGCAATTTCCATGATTTCTTTGGCCTACCTTTTAAATTGTAGTACCTCTCTTACTTTTATGGCCCCTTGGTAGCGATGTTACAATTTTAAACCATTTATCTGCTCCTCTTATGGTATTTCCAGCCCATTTCCATTTTAGTTGTTTTAACATCAACAAACCCATATATGTAATGTCAGCATACCCTGTTTTATCTCGAAATTCTTGTTATTTATTTTGTCAATTCTTCTTTTCTTTATTATACTGCTTTCAATGGTTCTCTGGGTTATGCTTAATCTTTCACATTGTGCTTTGATAAGAGCCCATGTTTGGCAGCAATATGTGAGAATTAGAAGGATGCATGTGTTGAAAAGTTTTCTCTTGACTAGTTTTCATGCATGCTTGTTTGACTAGTTTTCATAACTTCATTTAGGGACCTATTTGTCCCTACAAGTATGTCAAATATAGAAGTTTATTCCTAAAAGAAGTAGTATGCATAGCAAAGATATTTCTCTTCCATGCATTTCCAATTCTTCTGTCTATTTTCTTTGTGTTGAATCATGGTCACCTAAATATAGATATTCTGATACATAATCTTTTGTGTTTTCATCTATTTTTATTACTTTGTCATTCCTACCATTAGTCATGGCTTTAGTTTTTTGGATGTTCATTAAGAGTCCAACTTATAAATAAAATAAACAAGTGTTAATGGAAATGTAATGAGGACCATGGTGTAATGTTTGCATGCAGCTTTTTTCGAACATTTTGTATAACTAAAAAAATCACATTGAAGAAGAGTGGTGGAAAGTTGAATGCCAGTTCTTCTCCAACATTCTAAAACTTTATTATACTTTATTTATATGTAGGTATATATAATAGAAATTGTGCACATAAAAGTTTATTTATACTGTAGAATCTTGGAAAAATCTAACCATACCAAAAACAGAGCAGCACAAACCTGAAACTGAGTTGACAAAATGACTATGCCCTTTCAACTTCTTTATTCTTGTGCCAGTAGGAACATCCCAGACCGCTACAGTGTTGTCAGTAGCACAAGTGTACATGTGAGCACCATCAGGAGAGAAGCATAGTTCCATAACAGCCCCTGTATGACCCTTCATCACCATTACATTCTCACATTGTCCGTAAACATTCCATAGAACTGAAAATATATTGCATTATAGTTAAAACAATAAACATTGTTTGTGTGAAATGCAGCTTTGGCAATTTTTTTAATTTAATCTATTTATATGCACTAGAGTAAACTAATTAAAATCTACTAATAAAATAGTATTTTAGGTAAGTAAATTTAATAAGGGTTCATTAAAAACCAGTGGCTATACTCAATGTTATAAGATATTGATAATGAGTTAATAAATTAAACCCTTATTATGTGATTATAAAAATAAATTAACATACAAATTTGTCTATCAAATCCTGCCGATGCCAAATGTCTGCCTTCTGGGTGAAATTTGGCAGTAAATATCTCTCCTTGTTGTCCTTCCAATAACATAATAGGAGCATAAAGATTTGATGTCCTTGGCACCTGAAATTTTTTATTTAACCTAAATATAGTTTGGTATGTATATAGGGTACTTAAAGCACTTAATATCTCAATAATCAGTAATGTATACTCTTTCTATTAATTAAATAATAATTACCGTCGCCGTAACTACGGCTTTTTCTCTTGTTCCTGCAACAGATATTTCATGTCGTGTCTTTTTTGCCGGCACCACGGAATATTCGTCAGCTTTTCTTTTTATTTCCAACTCCGGCATTATTTCGTCTTTGTTCTCAGTATGTAAAAAAAACCGTTTTTATACTAAGAATTTTTCTCATAAAGTGTGAGGTATAGTTTTTGTTTTTATTATTACATACGAATGAAGAACATCAGTCGTCGTCAGTCGTCACGGAAAAACATTTATGCGAAGAATCTAGCGATGCCAATTGCCAACTCCTACAAAATATTTCCCCTAGGACGGAGGACTTCGGTAATCGGTTTGACAGGTAATTTCAAATATGAATTAAAAATACATTGAATTAGTTTAAAATAGCTGTTGTAGTTATGGAGCTGCATTTTACATATATTAATTAAATACCTAATAATATATGTTTTTATAATTTTCATAACTTTTCTTGGCATATATTTTTTGCTTTTTCCTCATTTTCTTTTCAAACATTATTTTCAACTTTTACTTCTATAATCGTTGCGCTATTATTTCGATCTTGGAGTATAAGTTAAAGCCACGCTTAAAGTTTATATTTAGTATAGGGTGTTGGTTGGGTTTAAAAAAAAGATTTTGAGATAAGTTCCCCCTAAAACCCTGGACATCGTGTTTCCCCCTAAATTAGGGTGGGAAACCCCCAAGTTGGCATCACTTTAAGAATCCACAGATGTCTAATATTGTTACTTACATTTTATGAGAGAATTGCCACAGAATAATCAGAATTAAGAACCACAGGTTAAGTAGAAATGAAACGCGATCCCACTGTGGAAATGGAATCCACTAGGGATGTGACATTCTGCATAAAAAATCGATTTTTTATTAATCGATTTTTTTTTAGCATGAATAATCGATTAATAAATAATCGATTTTTCTTAAAAAAATAATCGATTTTTTTTATTAATCGATTTTTTCCTTATTTTTGAATTAATTTCAAAATAAACACCCTAAATATTTTATTTTTCATGGTTTTTTAAATTAAAAATAAACAATAGAAATTATAATCACAAATTAACGTTTAAGAATAATCAAAATCGAAATTAACTTATTCTCGTTTGATACATTTTGACAAATGCCGAGTGTATTCCTTTTCAGTAGCACATTGCAGTAGTAGTAGTAGTTTTGTTGTCTTTTAATTGTATGTAGTCTTGTGCTGCTGAATAAATATATTTTACGTTTAAATTATAGTGTTCCATTCAAACTTGAGTTTTTGTAAAATTAACTGCTTTTATCATCCTTTTGATGTTTTACAAAAAAACATCAATGTATCGGGTATATCAATACGTCTTCAAAGAATCGGATTCAATGTATCGCATTGTAAACATCGTTGTGTATCGAATATCCCTAATAGTTCGAGGTCCGGGTTATAAAAGACCAGACATAATGTCGGGAGGTGGCAGATAAAAAATCGATTATGATTGATTTTCAATTATAAAAATAATCGATTTAAATATAATAATCGCGTAAAAAAATCGATTTTTTTAATAATCGATTTTTACATCCCATTTATTTTTTCACATCCCTAGAATCCACTGAAAGCAGTGTGACCGTTTTTAGTATATTCAGTACCAAATTGGTATAATTTGGGCTCCGTGTAACTAATTTAGTATTTTTTTGGTATCCTTTTATATTCTGGTATTTTTTGGTACATTTAAACTTTCAACTTTTTAAAACACATTTTGATATATTTTTGGGCTGGGCGGGAAACACTCACTTTCATTCGTTCGTATTTCGTTCACATGTTTTTGTCTTTGTCTGATGTTTACCGCAAATGTATCATTTTGTCTCTTTCGAACGGTTAATGCTAACAAATTCGCGAATCGTGTTTTGGCTACGTATTACTATCTACGTTACATGCTGTATTTTTTATACATGGATGTTATACGGATGTTTTAGTTCTTTATTTATTTCTCTCTGTGTGCATGTGTAGTGAAGATAATGAAGCGCAAATGCGATCAGAAATATAGATCTGAGTGGGAACAAAATTCTGAATTTTCGTCATGTTTGACAAAAGATAGAAATAATGAGAACGCCTTGTGTAAAACGTGTGGAGCAACATTTTTAAGCAGAATCGCTACAATTAAAAGTCATGCATATTCTGAAAAACATCGATAGAAACTTATACGTTATAGTGGACAATCCAAGGTAAGAAAGCTATGCCCCCATTAACATATATATTTATAAGATTATTGTGTCCCTTATTTTTTTATGGCACATGAATTAATTGTCCTACTTCTTCAGGATGTCCGATGAATCTTGGATAGTACATGTACACACATGTATAATTGATTTAAATTCATCAAATTAATCAAATCCTGTTTATTTTCAGAACGATGATAAATTACTTCAAATGAAAGAACCCATATCTGAAAAAGTAAGAAAAGCAGAGCTTATATTTTATGCAGCGTTGGCAGAACATAACATACCATCTCGGGCCATGGCCATGGATCCATGAATCATCTCAGCGATTTATTCAGCAAAATGTTTTATGATTCGGAAATCGCAAAGGGCTTTTCCTGCAAACGCACTAAATCTGCTCAGTTAGCTCAGTGCAGCGAATACTGACTTAGTATTTGTAATAAAACTTATTGTAAATATTTATTATTATTTGAATATGTCTGTACAATGAAGGTGTGTAATTGGTAAAATTAAAAAGTATCTGATAATAAGTGTTTTAATAAAAAAAATCCTCTTTTTCTTTTAGTATATTTTTAGTATAATTCAGCATGTGTTTTGGTATTATTTAGTACTGGCACCTTGTAGTTTTGGTAGATTGGCATTTTTTAAAACGGTCACACTGACTGAAAGCTTCAATCAAAAGCTGCAATGTGCCAGTTGAGGTTTTTTAAGGGCCAGTTTTTTGATCCGTAGTAAAAAATGGTTTTACCATTTGTTACATTAACTATAGTTAAATGAATAACCATTGGTAAAATCGTAAATGCGTTTTTCAATGCCTTTTTTAACTATAGTTAAAGTTAACAATTTGTCAATTTGTTGCCAGTGCAATGAGCAATGACATCCCAAAAAATGTGGTTCTTTTTTGTGGGGATCATTTATTTTGTATGACAACACTAGACATATTGAGTGAATGAAATCCATTTTTGCCATCTTCATTCGTTATTTGCGCTTTGAAGAGTTTGAAGTGTCAAATTAATCTAAATAACACGATATAAATAAAGTTGTTTTTCTGTGATTTAATACGGTTTACACTTTTTACGATACTTAAATATATAAATAACGATGTCCGCAAACAGCCAACGGTCAAATAAGTAAGTTCAAACATATTTTCGTGTTATTTATTCCGGTTTATCTTGTGTTTCGTAATAGAAAGTAATACATTTATGTTTTGTTAAAGGGACCATACTGCTAACTTCGCCAAAAAAGAAACTGCCAAACTGGTGATGCTTCTCAAGGATTACACAGTCGTAACCTGCAAACAACTGATCACTGCAGCAATCTACAAAAAGATGCAGCTTGGAAATCTCTGTGACGTTTTCAACTCAGATGGGTCTAGACACCGAAGTGTTAAATTTAATATACATTTAATGAAGGTGTAGGCACATTTTTATATTTATTCTTGTATAGCTGTGTCCTACAACAAAAGGAAAAATCTTTTAACCCTTTGGAAACAAGGAAGCGGATTATGATCCACACGGATAAAAAAAATTGAGTTTAGAAACAAAGACAAATAAGAGAGGATGATTTGTTCAATTATGCTTAAGAAGAGCATCAAAAACATTTGCTGCACCAATGAGAGGCCCACCAAAAATTCATACTGCATAAAGAGGAGGTGCACCAAAAAGTGATGCAGCAGATGGAAGAAAGGCACAATAAATATATGTAGCAGCAAAAAGAGTTGCATCAAATTGAGGTGAAATGCAAGAAGAAACAATTAGAAAATATTTAATTGCTACTTTAGGGTTTCATGTAAATTTTGTAATGTTTTTTTAATAAAAATGGTTTGTATTTAAGTTATAATTAAACAGTTTATTAATCAAGTCAAATGTTTTATTTATAAATTCTTGTAATAAAGTAGATAGATGCTAACTCACAAATGTAATAAAAGCCCTAAAGAATATCATAGGTCCCTAACTAATGTGTAGCTGTAGTTTTTAGTATAAGTACATACTTGTATGTACTTATAATAATTATAAGTTAATATTATTAGTAACATATAAATAATATTAACTCTAATTCATTATATATTCTATTGCCTATAATATTAACTTATAATAATTATAAGTTAATATTATAGGCAATAAAACACATAATGAATTAGTAATATACTTAATTATATACTGCTGCGGTTCTGTAGCTAGTAATGAAGCAAAATAGGTTTGTATGAGCTGCTGTCTATATATACTCTTGTTCTTGTATTTTATTTAATTATAATAATTATAAGTTAATATTATAGGCAATAAAACACATAATGAATTAGTAATATACTTAATTATATACTGCTGCGGTTCTGTAGTTAGTAATGAAGCAAAATAGGTTGGTATGAGCTGCTGTCTATATATACTCTTGTTCATTGGCAGTTTAAGATCATTCCCAATTTCAGTAACAATCCAGAGCACTGTTCCCTTCGATAGGGGGTAACAGTGACAAAAATCTACATCATCCCAGGTTTCTAATGGCGGATGACATTGCCTAAATATTTTTGGTCACTCATTAACACATTCTCATATAATATTATCGTCTTCTTCATCGTCTCATTAATTAAAGTATCTCAATATGTTTAAATTCATCATTAGATAGTAATAAACGTATTTATCATAGTTTGATTTCTGTGACAAACAGCTGTTAGTATATAAATTACCAGCGGCCATCTTTTTAACCCTCCGATACTGAGTAGTTAACTTTTTTGACTAATGGTTAGATATTTTACCATTGGATGCTCTTACCACGGATCAAAAAACGCATTTTGCTGATATTTAACTAATAGTAACGATTTTTTACCAATAGTTGAGTTAACTACGGATCAAAAAACCGGCCCTAAATGATGTTTACAAAGTAATACAAATTACAAACACTCTAATCCTGTAGTGACTAGTAGTAGTGTGGTTACTGGTTAGTAGTCTTAATTCTTATTTTGTAGCACGCGTAGTTTTATTTAAAGAAGACTCAATGAGTGACTTAAATTTTTGGATTATTAATACAGGTAAATCGTATTTGTTCAATCTAATCTTATTAGTTATTTTATAAATATTTAGTATTTAGATATATTCGCATTGACTTAAAAGAAAGCATAGGCTGAGCCCTCAAAAGTCATTGTCCTGTTTTTGTTTATTTACGTACCTCTTCTATGATATATAACTTGTTAGTTATGATTTTTTTAATTGAAACTATTAGTTTCTGAGGTTAGTGTGTTCAATCAAACAAACAAATTGTATAATATATAATAAATAACAATATGTATGTATAGTTAAAACTTGGCAAACATTTGTTATAAAATATTTAATTATGCAATTGCAACTGTATTTTTTTTCAGCTCACTATTTGTTTTACCTACAAATCATACATACAATGTATAATCTTAATTGGTCAGAATACAATTGGGTAAAAACTAGACACAAATATTTCTTTAAAATGTTGTCCGACAATAGAAAAAAGTTTCTTTTATTTGGGGCATCTCTAGCAATATTACTTTACAATAATATAAAGTTATTTGATCAACATTTTGTTGTAATCTTGATTGCATACTTCATTATGAAATATGAAAAATTGGTATGTAAATATATTAAATTTTTTAATAGCATGTAATCCGGCACTGGAGCACAATTCTCTTTTTTCTATCAGTGTAATATGAAATTTTCTCTTCAAGGAAATATTTTAATTAGTTCAATTTGCTATTCAAATCAACACTATTTATTTGTTTCCAAAAAGCAAGGCTTGGTATTTTATCTTGCCCGCTCTTGCGCTTGACTTGCAAACTGGTAGTAAATGTAAATTTAGAATGAATTTAACTTTTTTTTCTTATGTTCATAAGTGTACATGTTGACCTATATGAATAAAGTTATTTTAAGTTTGAGTTTATGTTACAATGAGCTTTCCTAGCTAACAAAAGCATCATTACAGTATAGTTCCGTTATTTATCAACTTTGCATGTACAGTGTAAACTCTTTATAAAGTCATTCGTTATAACTAAAAACTCTCTATAATGTACAAATGAGTTAAATTTATTTGGTAACCCAATACCCATACATTAATTCTTTGCTCCATATAATGAATTCTCTCTATAATAAATAAAATGCTCGGTCCCTTGAAATTCGTTACAAAGAGTTTACACTGTTTAAGTAGTTGCAACTGTAGTAAAAGTTGTAACAGATTTACTTGTTTTTTTATTCTACATCAATTTATATATATTTTTTTTAAAAGTACATATAAAACTTCACAGGAGAAATCTACGATCAACTATGGAGTTGGTATGGCATGTAGCTTCTATGAAGGGTACTTAGCCCAAATTATTCCCAGTAATGGTGCAGATTTTATTGGATTTGAGGAAAATATCCGAAACTATGAAAACTGCCAAGGGGGTGTTGTATTTCCTGTGAAGAAACTGTTCATAGTGATAACAAAGTCATTGTATTGTCCACCTGATCTTAAGGAGTTCAATAAAAAAGGATCCAAGCTTACCATACCTGGAAGCTTGCCAGGTAATAAAGTGTGGAAAAAAAACACCAACCCTCTATTAAAAACATTGTAACACGATACTGGTGTGTATCATAATGCAGTATTATTCAATTTCAAAAAATAAAATGTACTTAAAAAAATCTCTTTGGTGTTAATCTTTCTAGTTACTGTAGAGGGAAACTCAAACTCAAACTCAAACTCAAAATATCTTTATTCAAGTAGGTAACCAAGTACACTTTTGAATCGTCAAGTTAAATTAATCGTAAATTTACATTTACTACCAGTTCGCAAGTCAAGGGCGTAGAGCGGGTAAGAAGAACTGGCAAGAAACTTTCCGCCACTCTTTTTAATCGCCAAGTATTGTCATACAAATTGTTTGAACTGGAGCAATTCAATCCCAAGGATTAGGATCATTTAAGTAGTCCTCAAATTTATAAAAAGCTTTGTTGATTAATTTTCGTTTAACGAGGGCTTTGAATTTATTTAGTGATAATTCTCTAATTTCGCTTGGGAGCTTGTTGTAAAAACGAATACAATTTCCATATAAGGAGTGGTTTATCTTTTGGAGCCTGGTTGGTCGTACACTCAAATTAGTTCTATTTCGCGTATTATACTGGTGAAAGTCACCATTTGTTTTAAAATCGTTTATATTTTTTTGGACATACAACAAGGCTTCAAGAATATATTGACCAGATAGTGTCATAATATTTAATTCCTTAAACTTATTCCGTACCGACTCCCTCGGAGAAACACAACAAATACCCCGAACAGCCCGCTGAACAGAACACCAAAGTAATTAAGATTATACTAGACCATTGTTTATACTACATAGTAACATAAATAAACATTATCTACAACCAACATTGTACAACAATGTAATGTATGTAACATTACATTTTTGTATACAAAAATTTTCAGTGACTAATATAAATTTGGATTGCATTGGATAGTTGAGTCTACCGCGTTATAGGAAATCGCGTTGCAGCAGTATTATCATAAAAGCGTTTTTTTGAACAATTCACGAATCACGAATTTAATAAAGTAATTTAGTTTAATTTTGTAACTACACAATTGAAACGGGTGCAAAAGTACCCAAAAATAATTATGGACTTGACAAATCCTTATAAATTTCATACTACTGAAATATAACTTGAGAAATCACTGCGTCATATGAAGGAAATACCGCTTTATATGGAGGACGGAAATCGCGTTATATGAAGAGGTGTTATACGGAAGATTACTGTGCTTATTAGGAAAATATAAATTGATTGAGAGACCTCATTTATATAAAACTTATTTCAGTCTTTGGGAGACGTGAAGAAAGACCAGGCTGGTGTAAAGAACCGCATATACAGAAACAGTGCTTATAAAATTCACCGAGCAGGAACCGATCCCGTATACCTAGCCGTGGAGTGCGCTACACCACTACACACACTACACAAAGTTCTTAAGAACCGGACTATATATGAAGGTGATATCCCTTTCTGAGTTTTGTTATGATTAGACATTATAATTCGAATATTATTTTGCATAATACGGTATTGCAAGATCTGTGAAAATTATTTTTAACATTTGGTAACTTGGCATTTTTATTTTTAAAATTTATCATTCCGATAAGGCAAAAGTTGTGTTACTACTTTTAAAACAATTTCTTGACTTTGCTTGCAAAAATTAGCATAAAAAGCCTTTCCAACAGTTTTAAAACAAATGTTCAGCGACACAAAAAGATAGTATCTAACAAATATTTCTCTATATTAGAGCTGGGCAGCATAAATGCGGAAGAAGTAGTGTCTGATTTCTGTGAAACCCTTGGGACTATTATCAGGAAGACCCCCGAGTGCAGAGGCAAATGCGAGCTGGTCTATTATGACGGTGGGAATTTATTTTGTCTTTGTCTCTTTTAAGCCAGTATTATTTATAAAAGATATATTTACATACAAAATTAGATATGTGACCTAAAATTTTAAACAGTAGCAATATTTTTTACTAAAAAACGCCTACATGCCATTGTTAATATGCCTTTGTTTTTCTTAAAGAGAGGGCGATCAGCCAGTATTGTTATTTCACCTGAAATCAAACTGAAGATCCGCTTATGCACTATGTATATTGTCCACAGAGCCATAAATAATTTGCTTTCCTTTCAGACGAGGACCCAAACCAGAATTTAGCGGAAATTCTTCTTGACAGAATCGAAACGTTAAGAAATCTGAGACTATAGTATTCGATTTTGTTTCATTTTTTGACATGGGAATACTTAAGTATATCCTTTTTTCAATGTTGTGTTCATTTTAATTTAATTTTAGTCCTTTTGTTTTATGATAGCTTTTTTATAGTCTATGGAATAAAACCTTAATGACGTACGGATTATTATTTAAATAAGAATAAACATATTTGTAAGATTGTACCATGATTACTTATTAGCAATGTAAAGTAAGATGAGAAATTATTTTATTTTTCTATTAAATATGTTTACCAAATAATGAATACTCTTTCAATCAATGTTTGCCAATGAGTGTACCACTGTGTTAGGATTTAAGATCATTTTATCAGTTGTTCAAAAGATTCACACTTGCGGCATATACAGGGTGGCCAAAAAGTCGTGGATCAAACGCAACTAGGGGATATATGAGTTCATCAGCTGCAAAAAAATGTTCTACGGCTCATTCACTATTGTCCTTAAGGTCAACCCCTTCAGAGTTAAAATTTATTTTGCGTTTTTATAAGAAAATTGCCTTTTTTTACTAATACTTATTAAAATTCCTAAAAATCTACAACTGTATCTTTTTCATAATATCCACTAGATTGGTACTGGTGAGTCCTTGCGTTAGACATGCTATTTATGGTTGTTTATTGGGTGTATTGAAGATATTAAGTAATACAGATATTATATTAAGTTTAGCTACAGCATTAGTTTGTGTTTGGATTACGCTTTGACTAAAATATATACATATATCTAATGTGTATCTTTGAAACGAATGAGTCTCCTGGAAGTCTGAGGTTAGTTTAGTATAAAAAATTTGCGGGACTTTACCCCAGATCTAGTTTTACTGCCAAGCGCATACCTATAAGTAAGTACTAGTAGCAATTTTTGTATCCATTGCGTACTTTGGTTGCAATTTTATACGATAAATATATACAGTTGTTTCTTTTACTGGAGTAACCTCGGGCCATTTCGTCACTCGTTCAATTATAGTAACGTAGTACAATCTTCGAAAGTCATGTAGACATGTTCGAAACGATTCCCAGTGTGACTAAAATCACCTAAACGCGTGATTGTATGACGCTGTATTTTGCTATTTATCATAGTATGGACTTTTTAACAAATGTTTTTACGTCTATGTTCATTATAGGCCAAAAGCACTTTGTAGTTTGTTTAACAATATTCCTAGTTGCTCCAACGGCGACGTGACATCTCATGTATTGTGTATATTTGATAGCGGGTTTCCAAAAGTCATAACGGTGTCGGTAAATAAGGTTTGATATTATTCGGAGAAGTTACGCAAGTTATTTTTATATTAGTATAAGGGATTGATATCAGTTTAAACTGGAGTTTATTATTGTATAAGCGTTTTTACCTTCTATTTACTTTATGTTACCATATGGCGGAAATGTTTAACGGCCACATAAATTGCTAAAAGTTCTCTATCATAAGTGCTGTAGCGCGTTTGAGTTCCAGTAAGCTTTATAGAACAAAAAACCGAGCGGTTTGAATTTCTCTTTGACTACTTGATGTGCGCATACACAAGAAAGTGTGTGATGGATTTGACATCAAAATAAACAGAAGTATTATAAGAACCTCGATTTGGCTCACCAATACCAGGTTGAGAATTCTGATAAACGAGCTAGGTCTAAGAATACCCACAGTTGCTCCCCTCAGACTTTGAAATCAATTTAGTGTTTACCTATTATTTATGAATCGATGTATTTTTTTCTCTTCGAGTGTTTTATGTTTGCATATTAGTACTTGTCACATTAAACCTTGTATTTTATTTTTCTTATGTACCAATGTATGAGTGTGCCGAGCGTTGGCAAGCTTTTGTAAATACATAATAAAGAAGCTGACTCGCACGGATGGGAATTGTTTACTTACATAGATGGAATACCTGCAACGCGTCCGTCGATGTAATTTTTGTTTTGTCCATTATTTGAAGTTGCGTGAATTGCGCTACAACAGTATTAGAACTTTCACTGCTTTAGAAATCTCTGCCTATAAAACTTAATCATACCTACGAAACATTCTTTGATATTGGTAGGTTATGGATAACCATTTATATCTTGAATCTTTTCTGTACTCGGCCTTATAGCACAAACAGCTAATGTGATAACCGAGAAGTTTAGCTCGGATGGCGGACCAACCAAGCTCGCAATTTATCCGTTTTTATTTTATGAATTTCTTGTTATCCGATTACAGTTTAAGCTATCTATAACTATTTCTAAGTGTTTTAAATGCAACTGTTTTGATCACGAAGAAAATTGTTGACTAATCTTCAACAATTCAATAGATTTTCAAATATGACCCGTAACAGTAAAATAATATTAATAATAATAAATAATCAGTTCTGACTAATTTTAGACTAATTTTAAAACACTGTAAAGATTTTTAGTTCTGTTACCGCCAATAAAAATATTTCTTACATTAAAAATATTAAAAAGTATAAAGGAGTAGGTAGGTAAGTGATAATTTTACATCAAATTGTAGCAGAACATTACATACACCTAAACCATATCGTTTTTTCTATGTTGTATAATACAATTTTACCTACTGTTAAAAAGATGCTTCACATAAATATTGTATAATTTGTTTACTAGGGCTTCTCCAAAAAATATAATTTTTGTTGTTGCTTCATCAATGACTCGTATTCTGGGGCTTGAGAGTTGAGACCAAAACACTTTTCGACAGGGGTGACCAACTAACGCCAAACGAATATATTGGGCGTGTTTGGCCGAAGTAAGTACTTACTAAATTTAGTAAGTCACTTACTATGCTTACAAAATTTTCGGCCGGGACACAAAATAAGTGCTAAAGCAGTAAGTATGGATTATATACGACGCCATTTTGCTTATTGTTGATGTAAACAAAACGGACAATAAAATATCCAATAAAATATTTCTCATAAAATTATCCATTTGAAACTATTCACAGGTATTAAATTATATTCCTAAATTTAGTACTGTCAATTATATTCAGTCTATGAGGTTATGTACGGGATATGACATAAACCGGTGTTTTGTGTTATGTTAATAAGCCAGTAAGTCTGTCCTGGCCGAAAAGCGCTACAGACAGCTTGTAAGACTTTAATTTTTTTATGCTTACTGGCTTACTAAGTTTAGTAAGTACTTACTTCGGCCAAACACGCCCAATGTATGTATTTTGTAAACGAATGTATTTTGTTTCAAGCTTATGAGCTTCTATGGAACTGAAATTCTATGGAATTATAAGTTTTTCAATGCGTAAAAGGATAATTATGATGTATCTACTTCTATCTAATATAGGTATGGATATATATATATATATATATACCTATATCATTTAGAAGTATAACTTTTTATACTTTATATTTAAGACTTAGAGATTTCGGTCGGACATATAAAATTAATTAATTAATTCTATTTTTAAGTTGTATGTCATATCCAATAATGTTCATTATTAATTGGATAATCGTGAGGGATACGAGTGTATATTGTTTTACCTTTAATTATTTCTTTTAATCAGGGATTTTTCTGACAGCTAAGAAAAGTAGTTCCAAATTAGTCAATAGATGGCATTTTCAAGTAAGGGTTAGGGGCCTCATAGCCTAGCGGTCTTATTAAGTGGCAGCTAGGTGAGGGGTACCGGGTTCGATTCCCGGTTCGAGGGCAAGTTTTAATTTAATTTAAATTTGTTCTCGGCCTTTGGGAGGGTTGTGCGGTACCGGGCGAGTGCCGAAACCGTACATGGAGGACACGGTCGAATTTCTAAAGACAAGCACGAATTATGAAAAAATCCTATACTTGACGCTGGCTAATGCACAAATCGTGCCAGAGCCATTAAAAAAAAAAGTAAGGGTTTTTGTTTTTTTTTAGTGGGACTTGCCAGTTTATTCTGTGGTCTTTCCTCTTTTCTTTTGGCTCTTGCATTTGATTGTGATTGGTCTTTGGGCAACTTTGGGTGCTAAAATCATGGAAAAAACGTTTCATCATCCTAGTATTGTTAAAACATGTAAAAAAATTGGTACGCACTATTTCCCTACCAATGAACATCGAAGAGTACAGTGGCTTCAAGCAGTCCAACAAGTAAAGCCTGGGTTGACCATAGGAAAGCATTCCAGAAAAAAGGTAAACCCTTGCGATCAAGCGCCATTTCATCGTAGCTTTTAGAACTATCTTTTTTTTAAATAGCCGTCAGAAAAATCCCTCATTACTATATAACTATAGTCTATGTCACTGTCATACACTCATACAGTGACACAACATGGTTTGAACTTTGACAAAAGTTTGAACTTTGAAATTCTAAAAGGCAAAACAAACGCACATGGAATTTAGAACCTATACTTTTTATTAAAATAAATATTTTTTGTATGTTATATAAAGTTTGTGAATAAAATATTAAAAAATGGGTAAAAGAAAATATAAGGATGATGAGGAATCTACTAAAAGACCTAAAAAATCAAGCGATACAGAGGACGAAAGCGGACCACCTCAACCGGAACAAAACTACTTGAAAATTCAACCTAATTTTGATATTAAACATTTTCGAAAAGAATTAGCAGAAAAGCAGGGTCAAACCATGGGTAAGCGTGTACATTGGTGTTATTTTCAATGACTCTTCTTTAGTGTCTCATTCAAAATCAACTTAAAAATATATACTAACTAAATCACTTCAACTTTCTGAGTGCATAGCTGTTTGTTTTTTAATATTATTACCAGCTGAACATAAAAGAAAATGCGACATGACATATACTGTTGAAAGTGCTTCCTTTATATATATATTATAAATAAGTTATGGATTTTATATTGCTTTAAATTCTATATTATACTTTCTTTTAAATTTGTACTTTACTTTAGTCATATTATCTTAGCAATATTTAGATATACTGTTTAATAATTGTTGGATATATATTAAACTGAATTTATTTTAACATTACTTCTGTAAAATTTTCAGCTTTAACACAATTTCTGCAAGTGTGCCTCAACCCTGACAGTGATATGGATTACTTAGCAGAATATCTCAGAGTTGGTGGTAATTCACATGAAATATTGAGGCAAATATCTTCAGAAAATAAGAAAAATTTATCTTTGGCTACACCAACATTTCATATTTTTCACCTCTTAATTGTCAAAGTACAATCCTCCATGCCTCATATGATAACAATTACAGAAGAAGCTTGCCGCTATTTTCTAAATACTTTTATCCCAACTGTTGAGATAATGATTAGTGAAAATTCTGGACCACGACATAGGAAAATAATTTTAAATCTTTTGACATCTATGGTCACTCTCAGCTCAGATTTAGGTGTTGAAGTTCTTAACCAAGTACCATTAACACCTAAACATCTTCAATATATAGTGGAAAAACCTAATTATAAAGAAAAAGACAATGTTAGAACTGCATTTGTACATTTTATGACATCGTTTCTTGTTGACTGTCATTTGCCTCTAATTAAAGCTCTATTAGAGAAACAAGGTCTTCTTCCATTAGTCATTCCTGGTTTAATACAAGATGAGTCTGATGCGGTACTCATGTTTTTAAGTATCTTGAAAAAAAATGTCATAGAAAATCCTTTGATTTCAAAAACACTGAAGTTAAAAATGTTTAGTCATCAAGTTCTACATAATTTATTTAAAATGTTTAGTTGGAAGGGACCTCCAGAGTTGAGTGTTGAAGCAAAAAATGAGGTACGACCGGAAATAATGGTGTTGTTGTCTAATATAATAACTACATTGTTTACTTCACACAAGCTCGGTTTATACTTTGTCGATACCTATGTTGGAACAGGTGACACAAATAAAAATCAAAACTTGTATAAAGCTATGCTAAGTTTAAAAAGACCCTGGGAGAATATTTACGAATGTGATACAGTCCTTGAAATTATCTATAAATGTCCAGACTTACATAGAGCCATTATACATGTCATAGAGCAAAGTTTTGAACCACAACATTCACCCATATGGGAGAGAGCTACGGAATTCACAATTAAGCTTTTAGACAAATTGAAACCAGAGGATATGTTGCCAAGGTTATATAATTTAAATACAATGCAAACAGTCAATTTTATTAGGTTTATTACACTACCTGTGCCCTTATTGAAGTTCATTCAGGCAAATTTTGGTAAAGATCATACCATTTCTCTATATTGCATTAAAGTATTAGTAAAAATGCTACATTCACTAAAAAGATACATGACGATACTTAACTTGCGAGAAGCCCAAGAGATTCTTGTTGAAATGAGAAGTAAACTCGAGTACTTCATACCTAAACATGTTCCAGTTCCAAGCACTATAATTTCCTTAATAAATGATATAACAAATGGTGTAGGAGGAGCAGAATCATCTCAAGATTATAAATTACCAAAGGTAAACACATCGGATTCACTCTTGGGATTAATAGACACATTGCTATTGTATAATTACGTACATCCTTCATTTTTCGAGTCTTTAGAGAGTAGTATAGATATGAAAACAATATTAGATTTTACAAAGACTTTACGAGAAGGGCAAGTATCATTGCTGAAGTTCAAAGTAGTATCATTGTGGCTGACTTTGGATCAATCTGCACTTTCCTTGAAAAATCCAATGTTTAAGGACCTATTTCTCATTATGTTAGAAGTATTTACATCCGAAGAAAGAAATATATGGATGGAGGCTAAAGAAACATTGCAAGAATTTCTCAAACAAACAGAAATATATGAATCAGATGAAGATGAAATACAATTATTGTTGTATTCTTTAAGAAAATCTAAAGTTGAGCCAATATCTTTGGTGGCGGACGTAGTGGAATATGTGATGCAAAATAAGAAGGACCTCATAGAATACATTCGAAATCAGATGATTAATTTCGAAATTGCGGATGAAGATACGGCATCTAATTTGGATAAACTGTTCACGGATCTAATGAACAATCAAAACACCGAGGACAGTATGTTTTTGGAAAACAAAATGCCTTCGCCATTTATAATTGGTTGCATACAGTTTATCCAAGGAAACAAAGAAGCCAAGAAGAGTTTAAAAAGTTTCTTATCAGTATACATTGCTAATTTAATGCATTGCAACTATTCTCCTGAATTGTCTGAAGTTCTAATTGGTGACTCGAAATTAGAAGTCAGAAGCTATGTGACCGCTTGCATGTTAAATCTGATAGAGTTACCTGACTCTATTGTTAAAGATGATGTCCTATTAAAATTATCAGAATCAATTGTTAAAGGTGACGTGGTTGACTTTAAAAGTATCTTTCAATTTATAGAAGATGGCTCCGAAGATAATTATGATTTATTATTAAGTGATAAATACTACAAAATACTACTTCAACAGTCTATTGATGAATCGGAGTTGTTCATGTGGGCCAAATATTTAATGTTCTGTATGGTGAGACTATCAAAAGTGGATCAATTGACAGAAGTTAATATGCAAAAGATCACTCACTATTTTCAAATTTTTATTGCTACTGGAAGACAACAACATTTATTAATCACTTGCAGAAGAATATTGTTAAATTTGTTTAAGAATGCTCATTTTTTAAAAATGTTTAAGGCTGTCGACATGACTAAGAAGTCTTACATCTTGACAACTGAGTTTATGCTGCAGATGATTGTTCAAAATAAAGATATAATCGGTTACCTTGACCAAAACCACTACATTTTGAAGTCTTATCAGCAAAAAACTTACACAGAGATTATTAAAGCTTTTGTCAAAATTAATAAAAGAAAGAATGTTAAAAGTGATCACACAATCAGAGTCTTAGAAGTTGTCGGCTTTTCTAAGGAAAATGATAATCACATTTTTGAAAAGATTTTTGAAGCAGATTTAGAATCATGTGTCAACGATGACAAAGAACCGACCCTTATTGTGGAGGTTCTTAGAATCCTATTAAATAAATATTCTCTAAGCATATCATTAGAGCTAAACCCAGAGGTAGTCGTAAAAACAATAATATTATATTGCAATCTGATCACAAACAAAGCCTTAGCTGCAAATGCAACTAAACTGGAAATGGCCCTCGCTACTTATTTCGAGAATAAACCTCATCACGCAACACTTATTACGGATGAAGTATTCAAAAAGTTTTTCAATGCCTTTGCGATACGAAAAACTACGGCAAATTTGGCGGCAATAATATTAAGGCTTAATGGAAAATTGCATAAAGTTTTTTCTGATGAGTTAAATAGAGAAGAAATATTAAATCAAAGAGAACTCACATTACCCCTCGCCAATGAAGTTTTTTCAAATCACCAATTTCTTAACGAACATCCAGATTTTTTAGTTAAATTGTACAATGAATATAAGTCTAATATAAATAAGTATCTAGAAAAACCACATAAAGCTGGACAAGTTTATATGCAAAATTGGAAATTGTTAAGAAAACTTGTGACTGAATGTATGATAAAGGAAGATTGCCAAAAACTGTTTTCAAAGATCAACAAGTTTGAACTACTGGATGCCAATCACGTGCAGATTGTTCAAACCGCTTTGTTGAAATTATACATTATCGACGGCGAAGAAAAGCACGAATATTACTGCAATTACATTTTATCTATGCTTCATGTAATGGTCACATGCTTCAAAGATGAAAAACTTGAAAATTTAGACACAGTCGTCTCCCTCGTTTACAGTACTACACAAGTGAGCAACATAAAAATAAGCGAGAATAAAGAAGACTTGAAAAAAATCGTAGATAGCGCGATTTGGAAAAACTTTTGCAAAAGTGTTTTGAAGAATAGCTTAAAAGTTAAAACTGCCGATCAGGCCAATGTCCTAGGCCCCAAACTTTTATGTCTCTTGACAACATTGATCAAGATGTTATACCCACCGAATCATACGGAGATCGTAGATATATTCGACATGTTAACATCTCATTCGGAGTTTCTGAATGTCATGTTGAGTCATCACAGCTTGGATGTCAAATCTAGATTGTTGCAACTTCTCTTCTGCCTGGTCACATCGAATAAAACAATCATGAAGCCGCAACAGATTCCAGTGTTTCTGAGCGCATATCACGGCACTAAGAATCCTTCCGATAGATTGATCCTGTGTATTCTAGAGTTTTATGAGAGCAACGGTCTACCCGTAAACGAATACAAACCTTACGTCTGGGGAGACTCGGCAGCGAACTACTATGCGGTACGAAAAAAACGTACAGCTTCACTTTGGAGCCACCCGACGCCGAATCAAGTGTTAAACCTTCTCGATAGAGAAATTATAGAAAGAACAATACGAAATTTTCCAGTTAATCAAAAATTACATTACTATTATGAATTACCAGATAATTGCGAAACCGTTAAACGCACGTCGGCTAAAGCGTTTATAGAATATGATCGAAAGCAGAAAATGAAAATGAACAACAAAACTCAGGATAACGAAGCGGTACTCGAAGTTGCACTGAGAAAGGAAGAATATAATAAGGTGTTGCAAAAGTTTAAGGAAAAAGATGCGCTGACTATATCGCAGCAAGATGATGATGATGAAATTTATGACCCCGCTTTCCTCTTTCCCCTTTTAAGTCATTTACTGGCTCCGGGATCGATGGCCTCTTGCTTTAAGGTGATGAGAACTGGTCTCCTATCGGTGACGCTGATGGCTCTCAGCTCATCGTGTCCCTTGATGCGCGCCGCCGCTTACCACGTCTTGCATAGGTTCTGCATGCTTTTGGAGTTAGAAACGTAAGTTATTGACACTATTTTTTTTAATAATACAAATATATTATTTATTATAACCTCTATTCGGACATGCCAGTATTTTTCTTTATTTTTCGTATATTGTACTTTTCTTCCACTTTTGGGTGTCCGTTTGCCAGATGGCAAAAGCCTCCTCCAACCTTCTCCATTCTGGCCTTTCTATGGCCACTCTACCCCATGTTGTTCCCGCGACTTGTATAATGTCGTCGTCCCACCTTTTTTTGTGGTCTACCTCTCTTTCTCTTTCCATCTCTTGGGTACCATTGTGTGATTATTTTACTCCATTTGTCCTTTCCCCTGATCATGTGGCCTGCCCATTTCCACTTTTGTCTTCTTATTTTCAAAGTTATGTCCTGTACCTTAGTCTTTCCTCTGATGTTGCTACTCCTTACTTTGTCTTTTCTTTTGATCCCAGTCATGCTCCTTTCCATAGCATGTTGACATACGGAGAGTTTATTTGTTACGTTTTTTGTTAAAGCCCATGTTTCGCTCCCGTAAGCCAGCACTGGCAGGATGCATGTGTTAAATAATTTGCTTTTCGTTGAATTGTGTAGGGTCTTGTCTTTCATCACTTCTTTTAGGCTCCAATATTTTTTCCAGCCGTTTGCAACTCTTCTTTCGACTTCTTTGTTTCCGTTGTCGTCTGGAGACATCAGTTGACCGAGGTATAAATATTCTTCCACGTAGGGGATTTGGTTCTGTTCCACTATTACAGGGTCTTTGTTGCCATTGGTCATGATTTTTGTTTTTTCCGGGTTTAGCTTCAATCCGGCCTTTGCACTTTCCGATGCTAGATCATTTATCATCTTGCTTAGATCAGCTGGTGTTTTTGCAAATAATACGATATCATCAGCGAATCGTAGGTGCGTTAGCGCGCGGCCATTAATAGTTATGCCCATGTCTCTCCATTCCAGATTCCTGAAGATCATTTCTATTACGGCCAGAAAGAGTGTTGGTGAAAGGGGGTCACCCTGTCTCACGCCTTTTTGTATTTGAAATTTATTTCCTTCTTTTTCTAGGCGGATACAAGCCGAACTGTGTTTATAAATATTTTTTATAATTCTTATATATTTGTGCTCTATACCCAGTTCCTTTAAGGCTTCCCAGATTTTTGAGTGTATCAAAGAATCGAAAGCCTTACTGTAATCAATAAAAGCTATGTAGTATACAAGCTGGTACTCATTGTATTTTTCTCTAATTTGTCTTACAGTGTGGATGTGGTCTAGCACCGAGAAATCTTTACGGAATCCTGCCTGTTCAATGGGTTGTTGCTCATCTAATTTCCTTCCTATTCTTTCCAAAATAATCTTTGCAAAAATCTTGTAAATGTTAGACATTAGACTGATGGGTCTATAGTTTCCAATATCGCAGTGATTCCCTTTCTTGAATATAAGGATTATGATGGATTCAGTCCACTGTTTTGGGATGATTTCTGTGTTGATCACGTAGTTGAAAATTTCTGTAAGTATCGGTGCCACTGCTACTTTCGTTTGCTTTAGTATTTCATTGCTTATGCCATCTGGCCCTGGAGTTTTATAATTTTTCTGTGTGTCAATAGCTTTTTCAGTTTCTTCCTGCATGATGTAAGGTACCGTTTCGTACTCTGGTAAGTCTATTTCTCTTTTATTTGTGTTATTTTTGTATAGTTCGGTGTAGTAGTCAGTAGCGATCTTGAGTATTTCTTGTCTACCAATTTTCTTCGCTCCTCTTCTATCTTTCATCTTAACAATCCATTCTTTCTTGTTAGTTAGTTCTTTGTACGCCTTCTTTATTCCTCCTGTCTGTCTAATATGTCTCTCTATTGTTTCCATACGATGTTGTCTCCTGTCTTTCCTAATGTTTTCTTTTATTTCTTTACTAATTCTTGCAATTTCTTTTCTATTTTTACCAGTATTTTTCGCACTTATTAGAACTGCTCTTTGGTTAAGGAGGTTGACGGTTTTTTCTGTCATCCTGTTGTATAGGTTCTCTTTCCTTTTGCTATGTTCTTTAGTAGTGGTTGCAATTTTATTTTCCAACCAATTGTATTTGTCCTGTGTGTCGGCGTCTTTTGTTTCATATTTGTAGTCTTTAAGTTTCGAGTTTAGTGAGTTGGCTATTTCTCCTATCAGATGTTTGTTACTTTTTATATTTTCCCGACTTATTTTTGGTCTGGGGTTCTTGGGTTGGGATGAGTTTAACTCAGCTCTGACCATGCGGTGGTTGGTGTTAAAATTTAGGTTATTGATGACATTTATGCTTGGAAAGAATTTATGTTTGTTGGTCAGTATAAAGTCAATTTGGTTTTTTGATTTTCCATCGGGTGACAACCAGGTCCACATTCTGTTTTTCTTTTTCTTGAAGACGGTGTTTAATATGGTCAAGTTATTTTCCATTGCAAAGTCCATGAGCATTTTTCCATCCCTGCTTCTAGGTTTTGAGCTGGATATATAGGGCCCTATAATTGCATCCTCGTCCCGTTGGCGTTCGCCAATTTGACCATTGAAGTCACCCATCACGATGATATTTTTGTGGGCATATGTCTGCAAAGCTTTATTCAAATCTTGGTAAAACTGGCCAGTTGTTTCAATATCTGCTTGTTCTGTAGGTGAATAGATCTGGATAATGGTCCATGGGTCCTTGTAATCGGGTAGTTTTAAATTCAATAATGCTATGCGCTCTGATACACCATGGAATCCATCTATGTGCTTTGCTAGGTATTTTTTAACTAAAAATCCCACACCATGTTTTCCTGGGGTTTCCCCTATGTGATATAGTATAAAGTCTGGGTGTGCGACAATGTTTTCTCCCATTCTTCTCACTTCACTCATGCCGAGAATATCCCAGTTAATGTTTTGTAATGCTATTGACAATTCCGATAAGCTTTCATCTGATCTTAGTGTTAATACGTTTAGGGTAGCAATTTATATTCTTGTGTATCTGGATGTTGGGATCTTCGTGATGACGTTTTGCTTGGGTAGAGTTTGTGTAATGTTTTCTTTATTATGTTGTTGTTGGTTCAATGTTGGAGGGTTTTGGTCTAATTCCCCACGGGGACCAGCCGGGTTGGGGATATAATTGTTTTCTAAGAGTGTGTTATTGTCAGTTGGTTCCTTTTGTTTTCCAGTTGGTATTGTATTAGTGTTGTGTATTGTTGATTTCTTCAGTGCTTCTGGCTTGCTATTCTCTAGGGCGAAACGGCTGATCTATTTTGTTTATTTTTTTGGGTACTCTTATAGTTTCTACCAAACTTTGATTGTCAGTGGCTGATGGTGATTCTGTTGGGGACCGTTTTCTCTTTGTTTCTAAAGGTGCTTTTTCCTTAACAATGAGTTTGTTATACCGAATAAAAGCAAATTTTCCGTTTTTTTCTTCTTGTTCTTTCCGTTGTCTCAGTTCCTTTCTTATTTGGATAATTTCCTTCGGGTAATCTTCGGTTGCATGTATATTTGTCGGGAAATTTTTATTGTTTTTTAGAAGTTCATATTTCCGCCAATTTAAAGCAAGGGTTATAAGTATCGGTCTCTTTTTGTCATTCATTTTCTTGCCTAGCCTTCTCATGTTGCTGATCTCCCATTGATCCCACTCCCGCATCCCATCAGATCTTAAACTGGTTTCATTCAGCACTTCTAACACATTTTTCCAGAGCTCACTTGTACTATGTTCATTTTCTGCCATCCCGTGTAATATTATGTTATCTTTTCTCATTTCTCTTTCAAGATTTTGTATACGTGCATGGGAAGCTTGGAGATCTTGTTTCAGCTTTTTGTTATCCTCAACGAGTGGGCTTAATTTTTTTTCTATTGTTTGCAAAAGACTTTTGTTAAGATTTTCAGCTAGTTCCTGTGTTTGTTTCTTGAAGTCTAGTTTCATTTCCTCCATTTTTTCTAATATAATTTGCAGTTGGGAATCCATTTTTTTTTTATTATGTATTTTTATAGGTAGCTTGCAATGGGAAAATGTTTCTTCTGGGGTATTTAAAATTTCAAGCTGGCAACACTTTTTTGTTGTTGTTGAGCTGTCAGATTGCGAAATAATTATGTATCACTTTTTATGTTTACAAAACTTAATGTTTAAAAAACTTGTACTAAATCGCTGTTTACACAAGAGGTAATGTTCACTATTATAACTTATAATGTTGAGTATCGAATGACACACTTTTTAGTACAGATCAACCACTTTTTCACTAGATTTCAATTTTACAACTGAGAGTGTTTTTACGACGTGTTAACTGTTTGACAACCGGATCCGGAATCAATATAAATATATACACATAATATTTGTTTAGTCGTAGAGAATTCCTGAATCGCTCCTAACTTTTTATAAATGATATTTCAGGAGGCACAAAAACGACAAGCTGCTTCTGACCGACTTCATAACGACGCTCCGACAGAGCATCGCGTCGGCCCTCAAAGGCGCACCGAAAGAAGACAAAATTCTAGGAGATTTCAAAAATCCTAGACTACCCTCGGTCGGCGCTCTGTACTTGGCCAGGGCTCTGACGGTGTGCACGGCTCCGTCGGAGCCTCTGTACAAACCGGTCAATAACTTCCTAATAGCCAAGCAACACGTAGACCTGACGATCGTCCCCGATTTTCTCAGTCTCTTCCACGACAACGAAATCGAATGTACCGAGCGAAGGCTGTGGATCCTGAGCGTGATGAGCCACGGCATCAAAACAATGAAGGACGTGATCGTCATCTTCAAGAGCATGTGCATTAAAATGCTTATGGACTTTTACACCACCGTTCTGTGCGATAAGAGGACAAAAGCCAACATAATTAGCGTCTTCGACTCCATCGTGTCCATCCCGCGAGCGCTCGAAATATTGATCGAGGGTCACGGGCTCCTGACCTGGCTGCACTCGATTATCTGGTACTTGCGAAAAGACGACAAAATTGTCGTTCGAGAGATTCTCAATATTTTAAACACCATCATAGTGAGCGTGAACGTTAACGCCTTCGGGAAACAGATTAAGCTGAATCTCGGGGACGTCAAGGTGAAAGGCGACGAGGAGTACGAACTGCTGAGTATAGTTTACGACTTGTTAAACTACGTCGACGAGTCGGATGTCGACGAAGTGACGACGTATCTCAAACTGTACAACGCCATCTCCAAACGGACGATTAAGTTCTTGACGAAGCGTCAGATTACGAATATCTTTAATAGATGCAGTCGGAAATTTAAAGACGAGGAGTGCGTCAAAGTGATAATGCAAGGGGTTCAAGCGGAAAATTCCCAAATGTTGAGATCGAAAATTGTTGAGGATTCAAATTGTTTAGTGAGAGAGTTACATTTGTTGTCCGTGAGTTATATAGCTTAAATTAATGTAAATAATTGTAAGTACAATCTGTTACTGAATATTAAAATTTCAATTTAAGCCTTGTTTCGTTTTCATGCCACTCTTCGAGGTTTAATTATTTATAGTCTACGTTTGATAGGAGAAAAAAAGAGAGTTCATAAGATTACGGAAAATATTATGTCGTGTTAACGTCAGGGTATAATCGGATATGGAGGTAAACTTGTAGGCTTTATCTTTATGCTTGTCGTCTGTGAGCGGATGCAATTACGTGGCTTGTCATTCGGCTGTTACTATTGATAAGATGTCTCTTGTGACGATCGATTATAAGATTCTTTTTTCATAGGAATTTGTATAATGCAAAGGTAATATAATATCTAAATAACAATGTACAATTCAATAAAAACTTTAAATAAATAAAGATAAATCAATGGCGCTAAAACCTCTTTTTATGTCTGGGCCTCAGATTTCTGTATCTGTTTCTTGAGCATTTGTCAATCTAATAGGCAAGTAGATGATCATCATTTTTGAGTCTCAGACCATCAATGAAATTTAAGTCTACAAAAACAAATTCTTATACTTAACTAAGTGCGAAATAAACAAACGATGGCGTATTTCGATCGGTTTTGGTTGGTCTTTAATCTTTACAGTCGAATAGCAATATTGAATGGTATAAAATAAATTACAACACAACCATCCATACATTACAACCAATCCATGAGAAACAATTTTACGGCTCTTCGCGTGTAAACACTGGGGCTTAACAAATATGTTAAATAAATTTCTATAAGCGTACCTTAAATAGCAGTTTCATCAGTAATTGATATTTACCATAGACAGGGCAAGGGCAATAAATAAAATCCTATCTATGGGTGTAATTTCGCCGTCAACACCGCAATCAAGATTGTTGCTAGCTAATAAATAACCGATGTGAACCTATCGTCTTTACTACAAATAATAAATAACTAGAATCAATGAAATTTGTATATACCCTAACCTTACACAAAGGTAGAGGTTTTTCCGCTAAAAACACCCTTTGTTGCTACTCCCCTCTTCGAAGACACTCTCCACTCACATATCGAATATCGTACAGTTTCGCCGCTATTTAGAAGGAAAGGCTAAGTTAGTCTCGAAGAAGCTGGGTGTGCTCGCCAAGGCGAGACGGTACTTCACAATTCGGGCCACCGCTTGGAACTTTATACAGTGCAAATTCGGCCTCACATGGCATAATCGTCGACTACCAGTCACTTTCCGAGCGTCTTAATCCCCTGGCGTTGCGAAGAGATGTGGGGTCACTCTGCATCTTCCCTTTCCCTTCTGTCCCATTACCATGGGAGTGTTCAGAGGAGTTGATCGGATAAGTACCTGCAGCTGAGTTTCATAATACAAAATACCATCCGTATCACCTCGACGTCCACAACTGAGCGTTTTTTTAAGGCAGTTTTTGCCGCGCACCACTTAGGGTCCTTCAAGAAAAGAGCGTACCAATTCTTAAAAGGCGGTCAACGCCCTTGCGAGCCTTCTGGCAATGTGAGTGTCTATGGGCGGCGGTATCACTTAACATCAGGTAAACCTCCAGCCTATTTGCCTCCTGTAACATAAAAAGAGGACAAACGTATTTCCTTGTTCCTTTATATGGGATAAAGTACTCTGTAACTTTCAATAGCGATTGCGATTCCAACTTCAGTATTGAGTTTTCGTACCACGCGATGCCAAGGTTGGGTTATTGTCAGAACTATAGGTACCTATCGATAAATGGCATGCAAAAACGTAGTTATTGGTAGGTGCCTATGGGTGAGTGTCTTCTTGGTGTAGCAAAACATCTTTTTAAATATATAATATAGGCAGATTTATTTTATCCTATATAAATTATTGATTAATCAGACGCAGATATGACTACACTACACACGCAAGCAATCGGTATACTGCATAGCATATAGGAATGCTTTAGATATTTCAAACTTTGTACTTACCTACTTATCGTATTTAAAAATTTCGTGTGACGTGATATTGAAATAATATCCCCAGACGCAAGTATGAAAATGAAGTCTGTTTTTGGTGATTAAGAATCTATGTAAATATACGAATATTATTCTCGCGTTACACTCCATGTCTAAAGTTAGGCTTAGGTTCCTGTAAGTGTAAGTCTATTGATTGTCTGATATTCTATTTTTAACGATTATATTTTCTGCTATAAAAGATCTCGATATTTAAGTTTTAAAAACCATAACTCCCAATATGGAGTGAAGATGGTTTTAATTCTACATAATTCATGTGAAATAAGTCTTTATCCTTCGATAATGTTTGTATCGCAATCAATAAAGCTGGCTTTGTCACGATCTGAGAACAGAATCACGAAGTCTGTGTTTTCAAAGCTCGCTAAGTGTTATGTCCTATGTAGGATAAACCTCATTATGAACTCGAAAGTAGAAACATAAATCGGGGTTATCTCACGATTTTTCCATATTAAACCACGTTGTCATGCCCCTAGTTTTATCCTCAATTTTTATTTAACGCTTTTAACATAAAATCATACTAACCCGTTGCGGCTATCGGGATCGGAATCTCGCCACATCTCAGATAGTTTTCTAAAAACATCTGTTTTATTCGTATAAAACACAATGAAAACTGCTAAGTGAGTGCTGTGTTTATGAGGTTAAGATATGACATTATTGTGTAGAAAAATATTTATTTGTAAATTATATTTATTATAACTGTTCCTATTACTTATCCTGATTCCAAGGAGATCACGACCTTACATCCTTCGAGATAAACATTCCCTATTTGCGGTATTACGATGTTTGTGTTTTTAAATCGAGTTATATACCAAGTAGAAAATTAAGAATATATGTACCATTTTAAGCAGTTTTAAAGACCTTGACTATGTGACCCCCGTTGACGCATAGATACATTTAGTCTTAGTTTTACTTTAGTCATTTAGTCTCTGATAAGCGTAAAGTTTTAGATTCCAGCGGCAGCGGCAGAAATGTAATGGGCTATTTGTATTTTTGGTCCTTTTTAAAAATGATTATAAGTTTACTTATGTAGCGTAAATTCATTAATTGAGTGTGTATAGATATTAATTTAATTTTAATCGCCTTCACGTACCAAAAGTAAAAATCTATCATTTACAAACAATTCTTATGTTTTGAATTGCGGAGACATGAAAGCAAATTCACAATAAATGCAAAACCAGTCACGTTCCGAGTTAAGAGTGAGCTGACTTAGTAATTTTATATTATTTGTAAAGAAAGACACGCAAGGAAGCCCCACGGGCGATGTTTGAACACAGTTTGTGAAACTACGACTATTTTGAATTTTACAAGAGATAATATTAATCAATTTTAACTGAATGATGCGTAAGTCTCCGAATGTTTCGTTTTTTTGACGAAGTTCTCATGATTTTTACCATAAACATTGGAGCAAGTTTCAAAAGTGCTTATGAGAAAAACACCAATTTTAGTCCATTATTTTTGTTGGCATCCATTATTTATATTTATTTATTGATTAATTCCTTGAGGTATGTTTTTATAATTAATTTGACTTGGTGTTGAATATTTAATCGCATTATCTCGGGACGCGTCGAGTCAGTACATTTCACACCTCTGCGCAGGATTATTGAGAAGCTTCGAAAGCTGTCGAGTGATCGATAAAGTTCAACGGCTCCTAAAAAAGCGAAAATTATTATCTCTGGTTCGTTGAATCGCGTAGATATTTTTTAATATCGAAGATTAAATTATAATAAAAGAAAACCTTGCCACATGGGCTTCAGTAAGTTACCTCCAGGCATTGCAACAATATACTATTATTATATACAGCATGAAGAAAGGTCAATTACTCGTTGTCACCCCAATACTGTGCGAGCTGTAATGAACATGGAACATTATAATCACGTTTTTATTATTAATTTAAAATAAAATTGTCGTTAACAACAGGCTTAATGGCCCAAGCTTCATGGTATCACATTACGCAAGATACCACGCGACCACGAACCGTGAGGTATGTTGCAAAAACCACACATTCTCACTTTTCACATACCATATTGGGGGCAAACTTAAGTAAACGATATCGTGATAAACAATACTTTTATTGATTTAAAAATGTATACATACTGTAATAATGAAAGAATGTTATAGCCCATCCGTACAATTTTTTTCTTTTTAAAAATAGGAGATTTAAAAGATGTTTATTATAATTTACGTCACAAAAATATTACAAGTATTACATACATACTTTTAGTTTCCTTTAATTAGTGTGACTCAATGAATAACATATATATCGCACATAACTCGAACGGAGTTTGAGTCCAGATTAAACAGTACATAAGTAGTTATTTTGGAAGCCATTTAAACAATCACTTATATTCAATGGAATAATCCAGAAATAAATTTATCTGGCCTTCTTTCTATTTATAAAATACACTTATAATAATAAAACCCTATAGAACTCACAAGAAGGGTCTATCTTAGTATCTTTTACTTCACATAAAATTTAATGGACCAATAAATTGATGTTCACGTACAAATTATAGCAGTCTTGTTAATGAATTTTACGATATATTGAAAAATATATGTTGTAAATCATAGGCCGATGAATTTTATAACAAGTAGCCGGTAACTTGTCGATGGTTTATTACTTGAATAATTTAATTGGAATTCGGCCTGAGAAATACGTATTAAACAAATACTTTTACAAGATCAACTTCATTTTACGCGTTAAATTAGCACAATTATAATTGTAATATTGTTATAAATGGACAAGAGATGGTGTATTTTTTTGAAATTGTGTATTTCTTCCGTAAATTGACACGTATACATATTGTTTTTCAACTTTTCATTTCCAATATGAAGGATATATTGTTACTGTTTGAACTTAATAAAAAAGCGAATTTGTCAATATTTTATCGTAAACGTGGTAAAAAAATGACATCCCTGAATTATTTTATGTCCTCATATCGTCGCTAAGTTCTCAATATATCAGTTCATTTAAGTCGGCATTAACACTTCTGGTAACTTATAAGGCTG